CAGTGTGCAGTAGCAAGATGCAATGCTTTTTTGCAAGGGCTCCGCCACGGACTTTTGGTTGGGGGGGACGGTCTGCTCTTCGCCCATCGCCCTAGTGTCTCCTTTAAACCTAGGGTACCCCCAAATCCAGTTTTCTCATCGGATTTAGGCCACTTGTTTTTCGTCATAGTCCTGATACGATGATTTTTTTTTTGCTAAAAAAATAAAACATAGATAAATGGTAGGCCACCTGACCCATGCAATATTACCCAATATTAGGTTGTACCTTCATCATATTGATACAACAGACAGAAAAAGTTGAAAAAAACAAACTTCAATTTTTTAACCTTCGCCCCAGTGGGGGGGGGGCATATGTTACCACCCTGTCGCGTTTTTCGCGTGTGAATAAAAAACCGCGGCGCGTAGCGCCGCGCCGCTTGGGGTAGCTTTTGGTACATCAATTTTGGACAATGTGTGAAATTTTTGACCCCAGGTCATGTCAGGTCAGGTCACCAGGTCAAGTTAACTGACCAAGCCTTAAAAAAGTTTGCAATCATGTCCAGCCTGCAGTGTTTGTCAGAAAGGTCTTAAACTTGGTGGATTGCATGCTGTTATGGGAGCCTACAATTTGTATATCTCGGATTTTTTATATCAGTGACCTAAAGTCAGGTCAGTGGCATGACCTTTCCATTACAAGTCAATGGAGAAAAATGAAAATGCCTCTAGATCCGTGTGTACGCATAGGAACAGTCCAAATATTTCAGAATCACAATAATTTAGTCCACTCGTGATGACCAAGGTGTCATTTTTGCTGATAGCCTCTAGAAAGATCATCCGAGGTCATTTGAGGCTACAAACAGTTTTTTGCCAATAACTCGCGATTGGAAAGAGATAGAACGCTGGGGATGGTCTCATTGTGTTTGTCTTGTTGAGACGCATCGACTGATATGCAACATGACCTTTTCCGGTCAGGTCATGACCTTGACGTGAGGTCAAATTTTTAAGTTGACCTTTCAAGGTCAAATTATAGTTCATTCGACGCGTCTTGGCGAGGGGAACACGATTCTGGCAATAGAAATGTCGTGGCTTTTTGTAGTCGAAAGTTATTGTCGAAAAACACTTTTCGTAAAAACAGCTATTTTTGGAGTTTTTGCCCTCTGGAGGCTAAACCGTTGACCTGAGGACAATATTGATAATGACCTTTTCAAAAGAAGAGTTCAAAAGCTATCGATTGCTTTTCCATGCGTTTTTCTAGCTACCATAGTTCCTGAGATAGCGGCATGTTTGCTGAAAAATATAATGACAATTGACAAATTTTGACCTTTGATGACCTCTGGTGACCCCAATATTGCTGTAAGATGAAAAATGACCGAAATACTTTCAAACGTACGTATTGAGAGCTATCAACTGCTTTTTACCGCGTCTTTCTAGCCCTCTTAGTTTTTGAGTTAGAGGTGGGTGGTAACATATGCCCCCCTCACTAGGGCGAAGTTGGCCGAGACCGCCACTGGGGCGCGGGTTAATGGTATCGGGCTCATAGTTTTGCGCTGAATCTGAGTCCATTTTCAGCATTTGGCGAAGGTCGGGTCAGGTTAGGTGAGATCAACAAGTGCGTGTCCCGCCGGCTAGCCAAAGTACCTAGGTGTCAACCACCACAGACAGCTTCGTAACATGTTGCATTGGTACCAAAACTACTTCTCAATGCTCCATCAAATGGATGCTTACTCGTAATTCGACATCATCGCCAAAAAAAAATCCTAGTAACATGCCTAACTCGAAAAAGTGAACCAAATTCATCTAACGGTAATGACCTTGACCTGATATTCACGTGACCTTGACACCTACCATAATGCATGTGTCTACCGGCATTTCACATGTTGGCTCGGTTTTATGACATACCAAGTCTGGAAACCTATAGATAATGTGCGCTAACATATGCACCGAATCGGTGTTTCGGCCTGACATGGTCCGAAGAAATAGGCCACAGGCCCAAAAGTCATGGCCCATGGGGGTTAGGATCATGAAATTTTCACAGGATGTGTAAAATTCCCGGGAAATACTAATAGTGTTCGTCACGATAAACCACTTTTTACGCGAGATACTTGCGAAAAACTGAGGGGTGGGTCAATCCGACCCACCATAAGAACGAGGGTTAACCTCTCAAACACTGGAAACAAAGAGCTTCTCTCATCCTACAGTTCTGCGATATTCTTATTTGACCGATGGAAGTTTTCTCTAAAAGAACAAACGCGTTTACCCGAAAGAATTATCTCCGAATTGAGCGTTTAATTTATTGAGAGATCCTTATCTAATATACCTACTGGATTACCTACTGGATACACGTACTGGATTCATCATCGGAATGGGACGTATGATTGCGAACATTCGTCAGTAGCCTCACGTTGATATACCTAACGCGAAAACGCCTGTCGATATGGTCTACTAAAAAAAACTGAAATCCGTGGCCCCCAAAACAGAAAAAGTCTAAAAGCACAGCGACAATATAGTTATCGATGACAGGTTAATTAGATTCTCATCACGTTTTTTTTCCTCGGAGATTCTTTGCACCTATGTTCTGTATTCGGTGTCAGGAACAAGAGTCGATTTATCTACCAGCGGGAGAGCCGATTATTGGGGGGGGACAAAAGATAGTATGTCCCACCCAACATTTTGGTTGGGGGGGACATGTCCCACCCGTCCCCCCCCCCGGTGGCGGAGCCCTTGTTTTTTTGTAAATCTTAAAACGCTCAACAACCTTTACAAAATATCCGAAACGACTAGCCGGATCCGGATGTTGGAATCTGGGATCCGCTACAAACGGATATGCCGCTTGCTTTCACACACGTGCGTGTTCTGTGCGAGAGTTCTGTCGTCACGGGAATTCTATATCCGTAAGAGAAAAAGCGATCCTATATTACATAATAGATTATGTATTTGATGTCACATCACATAAAAAAGAACTCGTCAGACGGTTTCCATGGAAACGCTGATAACCATCAAGCCCCATCACAGTCGAATTAGCTCGACCACCCGCTATTTATCTCACGCGCCATGACCGGTCGGGTACTTCCCCTCGGCAGGATCTCCAGCTGTCCGCTGACTCAGGCGCGGTGACTACGACGACACTACAAAAGACCCATCGAGCGATGACCGCGCTCACATCGCCAGAGCAGTCGGCTGGGAGTCATGACCTCACCTGTCGCCGTGCTGACCTGTCTGTTGGCTGTGTCCGCCACTTGTCTGCTCTCTCAGCTTCAGTCCGGCATGGAGCGTCACTCTGGCCGCGCTCCGCCCCGCCGGGTGTACTCGCACAAAGACGGGTCTCGGAGAAATACCAGAAGTGCCGGCGAGGACGACTCTCGCCTGCAGTTGGACGATGCGGGGATAGGTGCACGTGCCGCGTGTCCGTTTACCACAGAGACTGTAACACTCGGGGACGTGACCATGACGGCCTCCACGTGTGTATCTGCCGGAGGACCATGCGCGGGCGGCGTGCCCTTCACGGTGTGTCAGCAGTTGACACAGACGGTGCTGGTGGATGGGAGAGCCGTGGAGCTCAATACGGCCTGTCTGTGTGCCCTGCGCGCGCGGTCTGCCACCACTGAGAGAAGTGACTCGGTGGAAGCACCGGCCGACCGCCAGCGCCGAGATGTGGCGGTACCCTCCGAACTACCTCACGAGGTTTGGGAACATATCATAAAAATGATGGATTACGTGGTGTTTTGTGTGAGCCAGCTGATTATGATATATCACGCAGAATGATTATGATATGCACATGATATATGATATGGGGCTTTGAAAGGTGAACCTAGACATATCATCTTGTTGCTTTGTGTGTGTCGTTTTGGCTATTAGTGTAGGTATAGCCTTGTGACATGTGAGAATATTGTTACGGGATTTTGATTATAACTAAGCACTCGCTAGAACTACTCCAGCAGCGTTTTAGATACACTTGCAAAATGGATGGCTTAAGATGTGAGCATATATCATCGCAAACACTCCACTCAATCCCATTTCGATCGATCCTACCTGGCATCAAATGGTCAAGACATTGATTCAGATAACATGCTTGTGCAATGTGCAATTTTATGCTGTTATGTGCAAATTTTTTATGTATGTGCTGATTGCTTCAAGTCGTCGATAATAGCAGCGTTAGTCAGTGTCGATGGTTTTGAGGTTGCGAATTGCGATATAATGATATTATGGAGAAGAAAACCCTTGCCACATTTTAAAAACTGTCTTGGGTTCTATTCGTATCTGGGTACTTTGGGCAATTAGATATTTATGCGTGTGAGCTGCTTTTTGACAAATGCGATCTTCTGACCTTGCAGCACTATAAGAGAATCCATATTTTCCAAACATTGTTTTCACCTCAAATGTAAGTATTAACGTGTCGAGTTGCAGTAAAGAGCTCGATCGACACCATGTGCCTCTTTTAAAAGGTATACAGGACCGGTGAGCTTGAGGTGTGCAATAGTTCGTGTTTTTATCTTACTCGCATCGCTTGTTAGAGTTGTTTCTCATTATTCAAGTTTGTTTTTTAGAATAAGTATTTTATAATAATATATTTTTAGACATTTAATTCAAGGCTTCTACGAAACTAGCCGTTTACGGTTTAATGTTCATGTTATGGGATCGGCATTCAATTACTTTTCACCCTGAGAGGCTGTTAAATGCCGTGCGAATAAGCCCGTCGTGTCTAGAGACCTGCTATATATCAAAGAGGATTACTGGCGGCTGAGCTAGGGCGGCCGAGAACACAGCATTATGACCCATTCATTCAATGGCTGGCTACATTGCCACCGCATCAGCAGCCACAGTTGGTTGGACAATGGGCGCGGAGAGGGAGGGACCATCCCGTTCACCTCTCACAGATATAACATTCTACAACAGCAGCCAAAACTGTTTGATGGGCGGCTGAGAGCACGCCGATCACACCATACAAAACACATTATACAAGATGGATGTATTACCACAGCAGCTAGAGTGGTGGATGTGCAGCCGAAAGCACGCCGTATGCCTCATGCAGCAGGGGTATAGCGCCGCCGCAGCTGCCTGGGTGGTGGGATGCCGCTGCCGCACCGTCCAGCGGTGGTCGGATGCCGCTGCCGCACCGTCCAGCGGTGGTGGGAGGCCACTACCGCACCGCCCAACGGTGGTGGAGACGTCATCATGATGACGCAGGGCTGCAGGATGCTCCGCGGACTGCTCGGCTGAGGGAGCTGAGCGACGCCGACAGTCTAACTGACCAATAAAACTGGAAAGATCCTAGAGCTCAGACGGAAGAAGTTGCCGGTCTAGGAAGACGGTGGAGACTGACTAAATTGTGTTCGAGGGAAGTAGAGCAGAAAACGGTGATTAGACCCTATAAACGGCGTGGCGTATGCCAACGTTTAACACATCATATTTAAGCCTGACAAACAAAAAGTTGCCCACTTTGTTGGCTAGATTATGCAACTTTTATGTGTGGCGACGGATGGATGCGCATTGCGCATTGTTGATTATCCGAGTATTGAAGAACGGATAATCTTACGGGACACGGGCACCCTGCACCACTGCAGTGGTGCAGTAGGGCCCAGGCATCTCGTGACTCCGTCGCCCAACACGTCGTCGGCGATAGAGGGCTTCACCAAGAAGGTCGACGAAGCGGAGAATTACGAGACATCCGGGGCTGCGTTGAGCTCTGCCGGCCGGTAGCGCCGAGCACTATGGACATTGGACGACTCTGAGCCTGTTACAACTTCGATGACTAGCTGTTTGTTCCAAATGAAATTCTACTGCGTGTTCCATGGATGCGTGGCGGTCTTTCCGACTGAAAAATAACCCCAAGTTGAAATAAAACCATAAGTAACGAACGGGGCGACCAGCGATTACAGACAGCTCTGTGGACACACAACCAAACCCTACCGCGCTCCGGCCCATTCTGTCCGCGCCTCGGCCGCCAGCCCCGCCAGGCGCGGCCGATCACGTGACCGCGCCCCGGGCGGAGGTCGCCAATTGGCCGACTACCTGACCCTGACCTACTGCCGGTCACCAATCAACGCCGCGCTATCGATGTTTGGTTTGACTGTGCTTTCTGCAATGACTTGCTTGGAGCTTCGTGTTTATGATGAATGCTGCCCACCGGTTGGAAATTGTTTTCAGAGTTGTCACACTAACACCGGGAGTATAAAATGCAGACGCTTTTTTAATTTCCCTCCAAAATTCCTACGGAGTCTCATAATGAGCCTAATTCTTCGAACTGTCAACTCGTGCATTGCTAGTTTACTTTATGCTTTTTTTCTCGCTTTCGTCAAAGGAGCGTTACAAAATGTGTAATGTATTGTGTAATAATATCGTACAAAAGAAAGCTGGCTGCAGACATTTTTAATCCATCAAAGCGTCCTAAGCCTGAACCGGGGAAGAAGCGATCAACAATGAACCTAGAAAACATCCGAAAGGGCTAGGGATAATTTTGACCGAAAGGGATAAATTTGACCGCAAAGTTATTTCGAGGATAGGGACGGCCGCTGCCACGCACGAGGTCAGACGACCATGGATCATCTGTTCTGTTGGTAGCCTCGCCCTTTGGCGTCACCGGTTATCGGAATGTTTGGCTCTCACGTAAATTAAGTGGACATCTGAGACTTGGCGATCGATATTTTCGGGAAGCGCTCGCCACGTGTCAGCTTGGATAGCTCTGAGGCCGGCGTGGGTGCCAGGCCGACGTATGGATGTATAATGATCCGATGTAGGGTCCTCAAGGGACCTGCACATGGGCAGGGGCAAATCACTGCAGTGATGGCCGATGGGTTGGTGAACACAAATACAAGACACAGCTGGCGTTGAGCGAGGCGGCGCAGCGGAATCCGTCGCATGGGTTGTTTCTATGCACGACTTACGGAAGGCTTCAAGCTCGGTACCAAAAAAAAAAAACTCAGCCGATGGGTAAAGGATGTTTTATGTCCGTTTCTTTGTGGACCATGGTATTTAATGGCTTCAGACATGTCAATTAAACATGGTATCAATAATATCGACGACACATGATAAACATGATCAAAATTCGACACTAAACTGGTTGTATTTCAGTAGTAATTCGTATTCGTTTCGGGCTACACTGAGGTAAAAAATTGTTAAAAACAAATATTTCGGCTTTATTGAGTAGCCTTGTTCACTGGTTTGAAATACGAAATACAGAAAGACGATACAAATGTGATGACATGCGAAACAGGTTCGTGCTATCAACCAGTATAGCGCCTTTTGGGGCGACTAACGGAGCGAGCGAGAGGGTGAGCCTTGCACGTGCGAAATTTCGAGGGGGTACCTCCAGCTGACTTGTGCACGGCACCCTACTAACCGGTCTCTAGCGATGTGCCAAATTTGAGCACAATCGGCCCAGCCGTTCTCGAGATCTGGAAGCGGCACCCTGCACGTGCGCACGTGCAAAATGGGTCCCAACTGACTTTTGCACGGCAGCCTACTAACCGGTCCCTAACCATGTACCAAATTTGAGCGCCATCGGTCCAGCCGTTCTCGAGATCTGGAAACGACCCCTGCACGTGCGCACGTGCAGCAGCACCCCAACTCTGGCACATGGATATGCAGTGCCTAGTGGGTGCCTACCTACATGCCAACTTTCAGCGCAATCGGCCAAGTAGTTACCGAGATATTGCAACAATTACAAAAGTGACACCTCTTCGTTTTGCACGTGGCACGTGCATAAGGGGTCACCCATATGCATCGGGAATAGTCCAATACTTGGTAGAAGGAATGAAGCTACCCCACAAAAATTACCGCATGTAAATCGGTCGAGTGGTTGCTGAGATATAAGCCTCGCAAAAGCGTGACCACGGCCGGCCGGCCGGCCGGCCGGCCGCTCATACTCAGAAATTTCCGTTCTTCTACGTAAGACTCCGCTCGCTTCGCTCGCTCCGTAATGATCTGTGACTTCTTTTTTTACACTGTGCATAAAGGAAGTCACAGATCATTGATAGCACGAACCTGTTTCGCATGTCATCACATTTGTACTGTCTTTTTGTATTACATATTTCAAACCAGTGAACAAGGCTACTCAATAAAGCCGAAATATTTAGTTTTTAACAATTTTTTACCTCAGTGTAGCCCGAAACGAATACGAATTACTATCAATTACCTGAGGAAGATTAGAAATGACACTTCGTCAATACCTGGTTGTGTTTCCAGAGCTTCAGCCGCTGGCCGATTGGCAATCACGAAATACTTGTCGGGACTGTGCTCTCAGATATATCTGAGAGGATTATACTCCTGCCGGCTGCCAGTCACAGACCGCATCCTGCCAGCATGCCTGAGTTTTCTCAGTGCTCACCCTCGAGGTAGAATTCAATAACTGAACACTAACGTCTTCCAGCGAACAATCAATACACCTCGCACACCCTTCCAGGAGTCTGTCAGCAGGTCATCTCTTACGTTTAGCACCCAGTGATGATTTCACGTAGGCATCACTTCCGTTCACATTTCGACGAAGGCACTTTGTGATCCATTTGAACCAGATCCATTCCATGAGTAAGACAATCGCACTCACCCCAACACCGAACGGAACTAGGAGCAGCAAAGTGAGCGAGTTACTCAATGAAACCGGCGTTGCCACTCGAGATGTGCTACAAATGTCAGGTCGTTCAATCCACCTGTCTTTCAGCTCTGAAATTATGCCACCTTCCTTCATTCGTAGGAGTACTCTATTCATGGCGTGTCTTAGATCTCCGAGGCCTTTGGCCATGACGATGTAATTTCTAGTCCCTTTGATGGGCTGATCGTATAAGGGTGTCAAACTGCAGGCTTTCTCTCCGATAAAAGGGGAAACGAAATTGATGTCTACATAGCCCAGTGTTCTCGGCTGTAGGAAAAGGGGTGCCGTCTCCGCGGTAAAATCGAAAGCTATCAGTCTATCCCTTGTTATCACTCGTTGATACAATTGATTTTCATAAGGATCTTGGCTGACTTTCCAGTCATTGAGTATTATATGATCCGGAGATATCACCAGGCTCCAGTCCGGCTGTTCAGTGAATGTCTTCAGACTGTCGATTGGTCTCTCAACTACAGCAATGGTGAGGTAGGAAACCAAGGTAGCCGTGTAGCTGTTGACGACAATGATGTACAAGAGCCAGCTGAATATGGTGACTATGCGCCCAGAGAGAGCGTTGGGCGCCAGTGACCACCCCTGGCCAACGAGTGACATGAAGGTAGAGAGAAGACAGGCCACAAAAGTCATCTCACTTCTGACTCGCCGGTCTTCGGATCTGTTGAAGCTAATGGTACTCCACAGGATCAAAGAGATGACGAGAAGAGTTCCTAACAGCGTCCACCAGACCGTCGAGTTTAGCGGTCTCAGAAGTGACGTCAAACTAGCAGCAGACAGCGCGGGCATGTAGTCCGATTTCTTACTGACGTAGAAGGTGTCGTAGTTTTCCTCCACAGCTACCGCATCTAGGAAGTCAATCACCTCTGCCCGGTCTTCCCTCAGCACTAGCCAGGTCAGTGCAACATCGGCTCTTCCGTAGGCAAGTTCTCCAACCATTCCAGTCCATGTTCCGTTTTCATCCAGCCTCCCGAAACCTCCTTCCAGAAAAGGGACTAGTTTGTAGCGGAGGTTCAGAGACTGAGCTATAATTTTCCATATTTCGTACAGGTAGCCATCATATTCGTAGGAGCCGTCAGGAAGAGTACGTATTCCCAGATATGGCGGGTCTTGAACGGCTGTTATGCGCAAAACAGGGTTCATTGTACAGCCTCTCGCCAACTCGACGAAAAAGTAAAGATTTGTTAACGAGAGATTCGAGTAGAACTTCGGTGATATTTCGTGCCGGTAAGAGCTGTTTTCACGGCGGTTATCTTGACAATATTCATTGCTCATTTGATGCACATTTGGTCAAATAAGCCTCATAGTGATTTTCCTAGTAGGTTCTAAGTCTGTGAGGCATTGACACCGTATTCAGAAGGCTCACGTCTGTTTGGAGATAACTTTGTCCCAGACGCTCTGAGTTCCGCTGAACAGGATTTGTCGGGTTCGTGGGAGACACTTTGCTACAAACACGAGACGTTCTATTCGCTGCAGGCACGAACCCAGTACGACACCAACTGTCCACTTCAGACACGAGTCCCATCCAAGACACTCACTGCTCCTGAAATCCAGGCACCTCTTCGAAAGGCACTTGTTCGCTCTCGACACTGCACCTTCATAAGACACGATATTTCTGTGCTGCTAACGTCCCTACGCGAGATTTCCTGTCCGTCCGCCCCAGACAATTATGCGATTCTGAGTGGCGACCGACTTGCTATACGCCTCGTAACATTCTGTCGCGTTTACTCGCCCATTTGTCACGACTCCCACTCAATGCCCGTCAGAAGGCGTTAAGGCTGCACGTTTATTATTGGCCATTTTTCACAGAGCTGGATGCGGGCCACGGTGCGCCTTATCATGCGCCGCACACCTTCGGTGGGGTTCCCACGAGCCCTTTCGGTGAGCGACGCATTCACTCATTGTCGCTCTCCGTCAGGGTGAGCAGTGCACAATGCCGTGCCGTGGACTGATGATTGCCTTGTTGATGAGCTCATGTGTTAGTTTATTTATGTGCTACGACCGAGGCGGAGAAAGACTTTCCCACCTTTGTTCGCGTGAGGTTCTGCCAGCTGCGCTGGTAACAATTTATGTAGCAAATACATCTCACCATTTATTTGGGCACCGTTTGTTTCGTATAATCTACCAGAACCTGTCCAGTCTACCGAAAACTCAAGATAGATGCGTGTCAGTGCGTCTATGTCTGTGGAAACATAGCTTGTGACAGTTATTCACCATTTCGTAGATATGTGCTCATGTTTTACAGCAGCGCCAAATAATAGTGTGCGGCGCTTTGTACGTTTGTAAACGTAATACGTAATGCACTTGCGTTACAGTTTTATGATACGCCCCCGGACTATCGACGGCTCGATTTGGCCAGAGCATGGATGAGGCCAGAGGAACGGGACGGGCCAGCATATACTTTTGCATACGTGTTGGCTGTTCGAGTCAGCGGCCGAAGGTCGGAAGATTGTTAAGCCGTGAAGCTGAATATACATTGATAATTTTTTATGTCAGGTTACCAGATGTCACTGACGCTCAAACATCCCACATCATCGGGGCCGGCTGTACGGACCGCGACTGGTATGCGCCATCTTTAAACATACCGAGCAGTGTCACCCCAGGACCGTTATGACCCATGGACACCCATGAACCACTGGGCTGACTGCTGCTAACGCACCAACAGCGCTGTATGAGATCACTGGTCTGGCACCGAAGTATTGTTTACTTCCGTACATGATAAGCCGTGAGTACTGACTACTGAGTGTATGTGCGCTTGTGATTGTGCTGGGTGCTGCCCTCCGGACCGATTAATGACATTGATTTTACCGATTATATTTCGGGCGGAGAATAGCCACAGCCACACGAGCATGAATGCCATTAGAGCCAATGTATGAATGGCCTGCCTGCTGACGCATAGGTACTAAAATGTGCGCACAAGCAGAAGCTTGTGTCTAGCAGGAACAAATGAAAGCACTTTTTTCGCGAAAACCCGAGAGCCTGTTTCTCCTTGTGTATTAAATAGCTTGTCATTATTAATGTTTGTTTGTTTGTTTGTTTGTTTTGTTGGGTTAGGCCCTTTCGGTCCAATGAGACCATTTCAGAGCCGGGAGGATGATAGGATGTAGGGGGAGACATTGGTCTGGGAAGGCACCCTAGTGAGTCGCCGGGGCTGAGCCCGTCCAGAGGACAGGCCACCCAGCCCCAAGGCACTCACTGCACCCGGCTACGGGGTGCGCTCCCTCGGGAGCAGCGGTGCCGCTTCAAGGGAGCAGCCCGCATGAGATAAAGTTGCCTGTCCAGCCCGGAGGGGGTTGCGACGTGGAGGAGAAGGATTTCAGTATCCTGAGGATAGAAGCATGGAACGGTGATTATTAATGTGATAGACCGCCCATTTACTGTCGGGTGTGGCGCACACGGGTGCTCTCACTATAATAGGTATTCGTTGTTTCTGTTTCGTCCCCAGGCACACACACACACACACACATATCAGTCGAATTTAGTTGAATGAAACCATTGAACCTATTCATTCCATAACTTTTGGTACCACAATTAAAGGGACCCTCCCACCTTAACATTAGATTTGAGTTGAGATAGCCAAAATGGGGTCCCTGGCTCACAATTACCGGTTTCGGCACTCACAACATCGAGAAATGCCTTAAATCGGAAATATTTAATTTCAAAATTGCAGCATTTTGATTCAGAGGGGCTAATGCTTAGGAATACCCCTCTGAATGTGTGACGTCAGCGCAGATTTCTAACGATTTTTAAATGTTTGACTAAAACGTTTTGTAGCACGCGGTGGTATATGCTATTTGCGCGCAACATCTGCCGCAAACGCCGCACTTCTAAAATAAAGTCGCTAGAAACAGCGGAGATCCCAAAAAAGTAAACAAAAGTAAAAGTCTCATATCTTGAAAACCGGTGAATATTTTTGGGTGAAATTTGGTAGATATTCGTTTTCGCTATTTCTGAACCGAGCGACATCACTTTCATGCCAATTCATTAACTTTTTTGAAGGCGGGAGGGTCCCTTTAAGTTGTCCAACAAAAACGTTCTAAATGACCGTCTTATCGGCCGCCGCCGATAAATTAAGTTGTCCAACAAAAACGTTCTAAACTGACGTTGTCACTGGCCAGCCTGATTCATTTCTTTCTTTGCAGAGGGGAGACAGTTCAAATTTCCTTAACCCGCGCACCGACGGGGGTCTGCGCCAACTTAGTACCGACGGGGGGGGGGGCGGATGACCGCCCCCCCCCTGAGATCTCGAGAACGAAGCAAGATAGCGACAAGCGGTAAATGGCATCGGATACGCACGGACAAGGTCTACAATTTTTACAAAGGTCATTTTCAGGTCAGGTCAAAGATGACGTCACAGGGGTCGAAAAAGTCAAAATGGCGGCGCTAGATATGGAGAGGGTTTTTCTCGAATAACTTTCGAAGTAGTCAAGATAGGGACAAACTAAGGGCACCATCGTGATCCTCTCGTCAATCCGCATCGAATGGTATATATGTTGACCTCGAAAGGTCAAGGTCAAAGGTTGACCTCAGGTCACGTGACCTCGAGGTCATCATGTATATCATTCGATGCGTCTTGACGAGCTGAACACAATGAGACCATCTGCGCGGCTGTATCTTGTTCCTGTAAGGAGTTATTGGCAAAAAACCTTTGGTGACCTTTGATGACGTCACATGACCTTACAGCTGCCCAACAGCAAAACAGACCTCAAGGTAGTGAAGGTTGATCGTATGTGAAGTCATGTATGGTATATGGGGCCATTCCGACCCGTTTTAGTGGTAAAAACAGGGAGTTGATTTTTCCCCCATTGACTTATAATGGGGAGGTCGCGAAATTGACCTGACCTTAGGTCACCGACATCAAAATTCCGAGATATACAAATTGTAGCTACTAATGACCTTATAACATCCTGCGACTTTCAAAGGCCTCCGACATCTACTGTAGCTCTGGCACGGTGACAAAGTTGCAAAAAAGTGACTTGAGGTTGGGTCATTCAAAGTGACCTGGTGACCTGACCTTAAAAGTTAGGAGGTTCAAACTTGCACACCATGTGTAAAATTGATGAGAAAATAGTCATACCAAATTTCGCGGCGCTACGCGCCGCGGTTTTCCCGCTATCCGCGAAAAACCTCAGGGGGGGGGGCGGATATCCGCCCCCCCCCGTCGGTGCGCGGGTTAATACTCGTAGGTATCAGCAACCCAATTCACTTTTCTAAATTACCGTCTGCCTAGGATGGACTGAGCGATTTTGTTCAAAATAGACTTAATTTCTATCCAGTCATAAAGTTATCAAATCACACGGTAAACTAGGTACACTCAAATTCTGTGAAACAAGTGGGAACAACTTTTCAATATTTTGCGTTTGACTCGTCTGACCAACACCAGCTCCAGTCCAAAAATGACGACACTGGAGGCAATGCCCAGAGGGACGATCATCAAAAGCGCGAACGAGTTGGCGAAGGAGACGGGCCTGACATCCAGTGGGGACGCACACGTCTCTGGTCGCTTGATCCATCTTCTTTTCAGCGTTTCGATGATGCCTGCCTCGCTGACTTTTCTCATCACGTGGTTGATGGAGCGTCGTAAGTTCTCTTTTCCTTTTGTCATCACCATGTAGTTGAGCTGGGTCGCCTCTTTGGGTTGTTTGTAGAGTGATACTAGATGGCACGCTTCGGGTCCTATCAAAGAAAATAACCTGTCGATGTTCACATAGGTCATAATCTTGGGACGTGTACATTCCATGGCGCTTTCTTTGGTTCTGTAGAACGGAATGAAGCGATCTTTGCTGATGAAGCGCTGGTACAGGGCCCTCTCATAGCGGTCTTTGCTTCTTTTCCAATCGTTGAGATGGATGTGATCGGGAGATACCATCAGACTCCAGTCGGAACTCTCGGAGAATTCCTTCAGACTGTCGATCGGTCGTTCCACGACTGCCACAGTCAGGTGGGAGGTCAGGGTGGCCGTGTAGCTGTTGCTGATGATGATGCACAGAAACCACATGAAAATGGTCAGTATGCGGCCGGAGAGAGACGAGGGTGTCGATGTCCATCCCTGTCCCGCTATCGCCATGACTGTGTTCAGGAGACACGTCGCCCAAGTCATGCCTTTCAAGGTTTGACGATTTTCTCCTCCGCTGAGACTGGCGGTCCCTTTCAGCGCCAGAGAAAGAACGAAAAGTGTGCCGACCAGTACCCACCAGACGTTCCTGTCCAGGGGCTTCAGCAGCGAGTTGAACATGTTGACCGTGAAACTGGGCACGTCGCCTGCCTTCTTGCTGATGTAGAAGCGATCGGTACTCTGCTCAACGGGCACATCCAGGTAATCAATCACTTCTAGACGGTCCTTCCTCATCCAGAGCCATGCAAGCGCGACATCGGCCCTCCCGTAGGCAAGTTCTCCCACCATTCCAGTCCATGTTCCGTTTTCATCCAGCCTTCCGAAATCTCCTTCCAGAAGAGGCACTAGCTTGTAGCGGAGGTTCAGAGACTGAGCGACTATCTTCCAGACTTCGTATAGATAGCCGTCGTAGATATAGGAACCGTTGGCCATTTGGGCAATCGATACGTAAGGTGGGTCGTGTACGGCTGTGATGCGCAATTCCTGTCCACCTGCCAAGTCGTCCCCCGCACTCGCAGACCAATTTTGACCGATGAACTGAAGGAGATGTCCATAATTTACGGACATAGCATACACTTCGGTCTACCCAAATCCTGTCTTCAGAGCATCGCTGCTGATAATGTCTTCAGTATGTCTACTGAAGAAATCTGTCGGAACGGCTTACCACGTCTTCTACCACGCAGGACACCATGTCGGCGAGGTCTTCATATGAGACGCCGTTGACCCGGCTTTCCGAACAGAGTTCCGGTGTCACTCCGACTGGCGACTGCGCCAGTTAGACAAGTCTATTTCGAGTCAAACGAGTCTACTATTGAGTCAGACGACTCTGACCAGAGCGTCGCTCTGGGAGCCGGGACCGGCCCGACTGGTGGGGCGAGTGCGACGCTCTGACCCGGGGCCCACTGGGCGTTTGTGATGCCCAGAGGCCCACACAGGAGGCGGGTCTCTATGACGCCCAGCCGGGCTCTCACAGCACAGGTGCTTGGACACACCAGCACCGCGCCCACCTTTTGTGGCGCTGTTTGAACATGGCGAGGCGAGCACAGCGCACGTATGAAAAGATGTCAATTAGCGCCTCCTGTTGCATTGTTGCTAGTGCATAACCAATAAACTTGCTTTCGTTGAGCCCGTCTCCGTATTGTGCGGGCGCCTTGCACAGGCTGACAGTTCTCACGCCTTTGTCGTTTGTCAGCGAAATGTCGCCCGTGTTTCATCGTTTTTCGTTGTTTCTGTATAGACATAATGATGTTTACAGTGGTGTTTAACGATTATCGGGTACGGGGTATATTTGAGTAAATTATCATTTTTTCTTTGCCGTCCGTGACGCGTTTCGATGGTGAAACGATCCGCGCTGAAAGCCATGTGAATACCTACTGTAACGACCCTACTTGATCGCTAAGCTTACATTTCAACGCACAATAGGTATTACAACGCACAAAAGGTATTGTGCACGATGCATAAGCACTGAACGTTGAGCACTGAACACTGCAGCATGCATTTCAATGATACATGAGGCCACCGGTGCGTCGAATTTAACACGCTACACACATTCCGACATATTTACCGTCAAATTTCAGACCGTTTAATCTTCAAGTATCATAGCAATAGAGCCGCTTGATGATGAATTTCATAGGGGTCATTTAAAAAGCGATCTTTGTCCGACTTGATGCTAGATTAATACTACCGTAAATTTATTATTTAGTATCCTTCCCAGCGGCATAGAATGGTATAAAATGGCTCGGCTAATTAAATTATCCGAGGCAGTGGGCCATATATGACATTTCTATCGCTGTCTGTGGAGGCATAAAAAATAAACGGTGCAAACACCGCAAAATGAAACATTGCGTTGGATTATAGGGGCGATACTCACCTGGCCTCGTATGACACCCCAGACAGCATGAAAGCTACTATGAAAACAAAACAAACCGACATTGATTGGTAGGTACCACTAATTCCATCCAAAGCCTGGCCTAGGTACCAATAATGGTTTATTATTGAAGGCCGTAGTCGGTAGTCATTCAGATAATATGATAAATGCGGCGGCACAAACGCGTCTCTTGGTAGCCGTGTGCCAAAACCCAACAGCGCTTCGACTTCAGCTTTTGACGGCAGTTAGGACGCTACCGACGCCTATTATACCGCTATAAAACCCACTGCACTGATACTTTGTAAGCGATTTAATGCGTCAAATCGGCCTCAAGAATAGAAGTCAACAGACCAGCGGAGTGGGACCACGGCTGTTCAGAAGACAGGTTGTGGCAATTAAACACGTCAAAGTGTTGAGATTGATGCTGAATTGCTTGGAGACGGAATTGGCACTGTCGCAAACACCGGCTGCTGCGCAGTGGATGGCTGTGAAGTGTCCACACTTTGCCCACTGACGGAACAACGCGGAACATCACAGGGACACAGCGTGTAGGGACAGAACATCGCAGCTTCTGCAGCGTTGCACGTCAGTCCGAAAGTCACAGCCGCCCCGCGCTCGCATTTGTCTGAGCTCCGGGGCAAGCCCTTTTTGCTTGTGTATCGTAGAACAATTGTGCGGTTATAGTGGTGACCTGCCGTGCTGAGACACCCCAAGTCGGCGTATGATTAACACAGATTACGTCGGTAGCCAACCCAGCAAGTCCATCAATGAAGACGCCTTCGCCTCCTCCACTACTGGCACTGATTCTAGTGTGCTCGATCTCTAGCGAAGCGCTGGTGACTCACCACCAACTCCACTGGACGCTCCTCTCCAACCACCAGCCTCTGACCCCTCCCTCCGTCCCCCCACCCAGTCGGGTGACCTGCGCCGGCCTCTGCATTCGCCACGCTCCGACCTGTCAGGCAGTGGAGTACCTCCCCTCTGAGACGGTGTCAGGAGACCGGTGTCGTCTGTACGGCTTGGCAGCGAGTGGAGCAGCCTTGGCCTCACCTCCTGGAGGTCTGGTGGTCGGTCCCAAGGTGCAGACTGTCGAGGGCACTACATCAATAGTGACGGAGACGACGTCAGAGGGATCGACGACAGGTACCGGTTTAACGACTGATACGGGAAGCGGAGCTGACTCGTCCACCACGACTGAAGTAGTCAAGACAACAGCGGTTTCAGAGACAAGTCCATCCCAGACAACAGACACGTCCCAGAAAACAGACACGTCCCAGACAACAGGCGTGTCTCAGACAACAGACAAATCCCTGACAACAACACAAACGGTAACGACGCCAGCACCAACGACACCAGCTTCTACGACGGCTCCAACACAAACGAAAACGACAACAGCACCAGCTTCTGCAAAAACGACCCCTTCACCAACGACACCAGCTTCTACGACTCCAGCACCAACAACAATGCCAGCACCAACGAAGTCGACAACACCAGCACCAACGACTCCAGCACCAACGACGACATCAGCACCGACAACAATGCCAGCACCAACAACGACACCAGCACCAACGAAAACTCCAGCACCAACAACAGTGCCAGCACCAACGACGACGACACCAGCACCAACAACGACAACGACAAAACAATCGCCAACAACTTCAGTGCCAACGACGACAACGGCAATGTCGACAACAACGACACAAGGGTCCACCACCACACCGGCGCCTCCCTCCGACACGGGCCGCATACAGAGCTACAAGGGCCAATACTACTACTTCTCCACGGAGACGGAGCGGGCCGACCAGGTAAACCAGCGCTGCTCTCAGCTCGTCCCAGAGGCCAGGGCCGTGTCCATCGAGGCGACTTTGGAGAACAATGAAATTGTCAAGAGAATCAACAGCGATACTCTCATTGGTCTACAGCGGGCTTCTGTCAACGACAACTGGTATTGGGTCGACGGTAATACCTACACGTACCGCAACTTTGCGACCGGTGAGGAGACGAACGCCGATCCCCAGAAGCTGTATGTCTACATGCAGGCGGGCACCGGCCAGTACGTGGCTACCACTGCTGAGACGAGAATGCTGTTCGTCTGCAAAGACGTCGCTGCTACGACTATCGGTGGTGGTGGTGGGTCCATGGGTGGTGGTGGTATGGGGTCGGGGAAGTAACTATGCCACTTACGACAGCTGGCCCGAGTGGGTACTTACTCGACCTAGGCTTTCTGAACCGATTGTTTGGCTAATATGTGTAGTTGTCAGCTGCATGCGGTTTGTTTGCTTGCTGTGGGCCGTGGGATGATAGAAGAAGAGACAACGGCTAATGCGAACCCTGCTTGTTGCACTGTAGCGTGCAGTGTTACAAGAAAAAAGAAAAATCCAGTCCAATATCACTGTTTCTTTCATTTTCACTAGTTTTTCTTACCTATAGCGATATTCTTGACAAATATATGGTATAATCACCATAATGGTGTTTGAGTGAGCTGTTGCTATTGGCTGGGAGGGAAAGACGAAAGCGGACAGGAACGGGTGAAGAAAAAGGAATCGACTGACGCGCCATTCTAAAAGTAAGATTCATGAAGTAACCTAGCAGGATAAAATCCAGAATTTACTTCTTTGGTTGTCTGTGCTTTCACAGCTGATTATAGGCGGGGTCCCGAGGCAGTAAAATCACCTATGCAAAGTTCTTAGTGTAGTATCCAAAACTGAACTGGGTGGCTGCAGGCCTGGATAAGCTACATGGCTATAAGGCTTGCATGTTGCATGTAGGGCTTCATATACATACATGACACAACGGACTAAACAACGAACATTCGACCTCTCCCACACTCAATTCACCGATGCCACTTTACGTAGTTTGAAAGTAGATGGCGGTACGGTTCTTCTCCACGTCTATGTTAGCGCCCTCTCGCCTCTCGATAACTGACACAACTCACAATCAGGCCAGGTCATGTGTCGTTACAAGTTTTTCAGCGTTGATGATTTCTGACCGAAACTAAAAGGACCCTCCCAGATCGGATTATAACACCAACTCAACACCAACATCTTATATCGGCAACGATCAAAACGCAACAAACCCTTAAATAAAAAACGGAACATATTAGTTGATCATCATCACATACCGCTCTCCGCCTCAGAAAAAAACTTTCATATAAGTACGTTGTATTTACATCTATCCATCACTGAAGACGCGGGGGAGGGAGGGAAATTATATCTACAGGGGACGACCACACCGCTCAGATGCCGTACTTCAGATCGTCCCGCCGGATCGGTCGCAGCTTGGCCGCCTTCGGGTCGTCGTGGCGGTAAACTGAAACGAAAAAATAAACTTACTTGGAATAGATGTACCCGGAGACTTCTATACAAGGGCTAAAAGCACTATCCGTTAGAATTGTGTTGAAAATACAACGGAGTTGTCTGGTTACAGTTTTACAAAAGTTACCAGAGGCATATCTTGATATGAATTGTAGTAGGGACTGTGACAAAACGGATTCTGACATAGAATCATCGGTAGCCGCGTAGACTGTGTAGCGCAGTTACGTGAATGGTAATGTCATTTCATGTCTGCTTCAACGTTTTACGTGCCAAACATTTTTTTTTTTTGCTTTAGAGTAAGCTGAGCGGCACTCTACTGCACTGGTGTGGCCACAGTGAAGGGAAGGGCCGCACTAGGGCGATGGAGTGCCGCAATTCAGCTGGCTCTAAAACCACTCCATGCATCAGTACGTCGACTCATTACAGCAATCATGAGCGGCCAGCGATGAATCACCGTAGCCTAAAGCCCATCCGTATCAATAGAAAACCGCAACAATGACAGCACACATGCATTATTTTTCATCCACCCGACTACAAACCCCAGTGCCTGATAGTGCATTGGCAGCACACATGCATTATTTTTCATCCACCCGACTACAACCCCCTGTGCCTGATAGTGCATTGGCTGTAAGTGACCCGCAGCAATGAGCGCACCACCAACCCGCCGCCAGAAGTCGCGCTGTTCTGACCGACATTTGACTCAAGAGTGTCCCAGACCCTCGAGCTGTCCCGTGAAGTCGACTTGTGTCAAAGAAACAGTCAAATGTGCCCCGACTTCAGTGGTCTGAAGTGCCCCAATCTTCATCTTGTTTCTGAATTGTGTTTTGGAACCAACAATGGCCAGAGTGTTTGGCCAGCAGATCAGAACAGTGTTGGAGAATGGTGTTAACTATGTATTTAAGTACCGTAGCTCTTTGCAACTGACCTGTGTAATAGTATCTGTGCTGTTCATTGTACATCTCGTCCCGCTTGTATATCCAGGCTGCGTACATGCCACTGCCAAACCCTGCCGGAGTAAATCAATGTGTCAGGGCCCAGGGGAGTAGAATAAGTGGTAAATCATTAAACAGGGAAATGTGGATTCCCTTTTCTTTGCAACAGGGACTGAAAGTCTATAATAACATATGTTTTGAATGCATTGGAAAGAAGACAGTAGTCCCATCAAGGTTGAATTATAAAACATTTCTAAAGACCCATTTGTTGATACACAAGGTGAAGACAATGACCTAAAGAAAATGACATCTGAATGTCCTTCACTAATGTAGAAGTGGCCAGTGAGTGAGAGGTATACTTCTGATTGTGAACTTCAGCAGGATTAGAGTACACATTTACAAATTGCAGGTAGCTATGAAACAAGATAGGCAAAACTTATGACTCACCTACAACTGCCATCAATCCTGACCCAACAACTTCAGGAATTTCATTCCAGCCACGCTTCAGGAGAGATCCGATCGAAACTGAAACAGAAAAAATGTTATCACTACGAGATTTGAAAAAAGATGATTCACGTTCAATGAATGGTAAGATGCATGAAGTGAAGCTTCATGAGGATGCTCAGATTATGTAGGTCTTAGCTTGTAAAACTACTCTTTCTATGCATGAACTCAGTTTACATAAAATGTACCTATCTAGCACCAATACATGAACAACATTTTTCAACTTTGGATGCAGAACTATAATGTCATACCTCTTGCTGCCATGCCGATGATTATTTTTCACCTGAGAAAAATATTGAAGTGAACGTCCCGGTAAATCAATCAGGTAAAACCAATTCACCCTTTTGATCAATGATTGATCAAAAGCACTGCATCACTTGAAACACAGGTTGATTTAATGCAAATTAAATTGTCAAGCAAAGTCACCTAATTTAAACTGAATTGCAATAGTTGTAGCCTGTTGATTCTTGGCTGCAATACTGGGTCCCAGTTCACAACCAATAAGGAACAAATATAAAAGGTTGCATTCATTTATCTTAAACTTACTAATTGGAAATTATTGAAATAATTCGCTATGAAACCAAAACACAGAGAAGGGATATCTTCACGTTCACTTATTTCTTTTTGCTCAGTCGATTCAGTGCGCATAGTTCAGTGGATAAAGCCCTTGCACAAAACTTGAGAAGGCAAAATCAGCTGCTCACCTAGCGGTGAAACACTCAAATAGACTCAAAATACCGTTTTAGTTTTGAATACCATCAAATTGTTATTGAACTCTCAAAAAAAGATATTTACATTAGTATTTTAAGGAAAACAGGCAAAATTGCCTTATATTATGCACAAAAATATTGAATATTAAGACTCTAGAAAAATGAGTGATCGCAAACGGTTTGTTCCATTACTGGCGCACTTTTTACGGTCTGCCCACTGGTCTGCCAGTCGTGTTCACTCGTACCCCCGTAATATGCTCACTTAGATATGCAAATTAATGAACAACACTTAACAATCTAAAAACAGCTTAAAATGAATATAATTATGTTCAGTTGATAGGTATATACTCATAATAAATTCGCTAATAAAAAAATAGGTATTATCTAACCATCAACAATATCAAAAAGACAAAAAGTGCGAATATACTGAGCGAAAACTGCATTACAGTTTACCACGAGCATAACTGGGACCAGACACGCCGAAATAGAACACTACCTATATCAAACCGTGCTGTTTCGTTCCATCATGCGCTTAGACTTTTTAGGGCCTTGCTTCGACCGAAAAGTCAAGAGCGCTTAGACGTATTAAATTCGAATAAGAGGAATAGGGCTTACTGGGGTCGATGATATATAAATGATAGAAGGGCAGTTCCTTTTACTTCAATAAAGAGCTTAAGTTCTCATTTGCCATTTGCTGCCATTATCAAATGTTATCGTTCTAATCTAGGCCAAGGAAAGGTTGTCGGTGAGTATTTCTGCATTTTCTATTGATTTTAGAGGAAATGAGTAAGAATTTCTGTATTCCAAATATAGAGTCAGAAAGGCACTACTACCATGGTATCCAAATTATATTTGCTGAACAATATACAACGCCAATATTATGAGACCTTGCAGGTCGTACCTATGGAATTTTCTGCTGTTGAATATGCTAGGAGTTTTTTCATGTTATAATAGGTCATTTTCACTTGAACCATGCAGAAAAATAACTTCCTGATCTTTGTTGTCATTGATGAAATTGCTGGAATGCCAGTAGTGATATCAATGTTCAGAGACCTGCAACACTGAATTGATGTTTCTGGTTTTTGGGCAATTCCATGACAGATCACCTAGGCATGTTCACCATGACCTCTCCGATTTTGCTCAAATTTGGCATGCAAGTTGACCTATGGGCACTACTTTGTCCCAGCAAATTTTTAGTCTCTAGGTCACAGGGGTCATGAGATATGGGTCATGCAAATTTTTAGGTTTTCCGGAACATTGAAATATAAAGTATTTTTTATCTCTGCAACGGTTCACCGGATCAAAAAACGTTATTTATGAAATAAGAAGCGCAAAGGCTGGTGCGTCTAGCAAAAATTTGAACGAAACCCCAAGGTCATTTTTTGACCCTTTGACCTCGTGACCTTTTCTTGACCCCGTGACCTTTCAAATTTGTCCTATTTTAAAAATTCTGATTTTTTCTCTCAGAGATGTCTTATCCATGCTCTTAATAGTGGTATGTGATTTGGTTGGTATATCGGACCCGTTGACCTCAAACTGAGGTCAACAATGTGGTCATGACCTGACATGAAAATGACATCTGCCGAGAACGTCGAGAATCATAGGCAATATGGGTGTCATATGAAAGCTTACTTCACGGAGAATACATTGGTGGTGTTTTTGAGTAGGTATGGGCCGGGTCAAGGTCACATTAGGTCAGTGACCCAACACAGCATTGTGTTCTTTGAAGGTGGCGTATTTAATTTGTTTGGTAAGCCCAGTGATCAGCAGACAATAAAAAAGGGAACAAAACGTCATAAAACGTCTCTTTTATTCAAAAAGCAGAGATAAAATGCACACATACCCATATAAACACACTCGCAAAAACACACACATTCATACACCTTGTTCGAGGAAGTTCTTTCAAACAAACCCCAGTGACACACGCGCTGTGAAGAACGAGTCTCAGAAGACTCGGACAGCTTGAAGGCTGCTATGGTATTGGAGTCGAGCAGTACAAAGCGGTGAAACGTCCTGGTACCCTTCACCATGCGGACACTTGTGAAGCGTTCTTTCATTTTTGTCTTCGTTTCTGCTATTTGCGTTGCGGGAGCTGACGCGGGAGCTGAAGCGGCATTTCAGGCAGTGGTTATTCCCCACATTTGAAATGAATGCCCAAGACAAAAAAATACACTACTTCTCTGTCCGAGCAGCGTCCCAGTACAAGAACAAATACAATTTTGCAAATATATGTCATCATGCCGAGGATTTCGGTGTTCAATGTGAGTGGATTTTTTTGCCACCTCGCATGGCAAAAGCGCATGCGATGGTATTGGTAATACTGTGAGGACCACCTTACCGATAAAATGCATTTCTTCTTCGTTTCGGCAACGCAAATAGCAGGAACGAAGACGAAAATGAAAGAGAACGGTTCACAAGTGCCCGCACGGTGAAGGGTAGGTAACTAGGTAGTAGGTACTACCAGGACGTTTCACCGCTTTGTACCGCTCGACTCCCACACCATAGCAGCCTTCAAGCTCTCCTAGTCTTCTAAGACTCGTTCTTCACACCGCGTGTGTTACTGAGGTTTGTTTGAAAGATCTTCCTTGAACAAGGTGTATGTATGTGTGTGTGTGTTTGTGCGAGTGTGTGTATATGGGTGAATGCATTTTATCTGTGCTTTTTGAATAAAGACAGACGGTGTTTTATGACGTTTTGTTTCCTTCTTTTTTTTGTGTGCTGATCCCTGGGCTTACCAAACAAATTAAATACGCCACCTTCAAAGAACACAATGCTGTGTTAGGTCACTGACCTAATGTGACCTTGACCCGGCCCATACCTACTCAAAAACACCACCAATGTATTCTCCGTGAAGTAAGCTTTCATATGACACCCATATTGCCTATGATTCTCGACGTTCTCGGCAGATGTCATTTTCATGTCAGGTCATGACCACATTGTTGACCTCAGTTTGAGGTCAACGGGTCCGATATACCAACCAAATCACATACCACTATTAAGAGCATGGATAAGACATCTCTGAGAGAAAAAATCAGAATTTTTAAAATAGGACAAATTTGAAAGGTCACGGGGTCAAGAAAAGGTCACGAGGTCAAAGGGTCAAAAAATGACCTTGGGGTTTCGTTCACATTTTTGCTAGACGCACCAGCCTTTGCGCTTCTTATTTCATATATAACTTTTTTTGATCCGGTGAACCGTTGTAGAGATAAAAAATACTTTATATTTCAATGTTCCGGAAAACCTAAAAATTTGCATGACCCATATCTCATGACCCCTGTGACCTAGGGACTAAAAATTTACTGGGACGAAGTAGTGCCCATAGGTCAACTTACACGCCAAATTTGAGCAAAATCGGAGAGGTCATGGTGAACAATTGGAAAAAAAATTAGGTGATTTGTCGTGGAATTGCCCTTTTCCTACTTGGTTGTAGCTTTCTAATGTTTCATGACAGATCATTAGCCAAAATATGGCATGAGAATGGCATGAATTACAATCATATCTTTTACTGTTTATCACAATAAATATGTCTTGTTCCTGCCACCTGCCAGATATCTTGACAATGCTGATGGAAATTCTGTCTAATAAAACTATAAAATGCCATTTCTATGTAGTCCATACTCTTGACCTCTGTGATATGCTAAACCCTACATCAGGTTATAAATAGTATTCTTCCAAAGCAGAAGGTTCCTATTGGAATGGAAGTTGAGCACAAGGCCAAAATAAATTTCCTATCACTTGCCAGTGTTCAACACATTTTTGTTTAACAGTTCAAATTGCTCAAATAATAATGCATTTATTGTATTTCCCAGGTACCATCAATGGATAATTAGCACAAAACTAGATAAGCTGACATCTCATACAGAGAAATATTGAACAACTGCTACAACTTCCTAGCAAGTCTCTGGTTGTGCTGCTTGTCTGGTTCACTCTGGTGGTGAGTCATGCTGTCCCTGTGTTTCCTACCCGCGCGGGCGGCCGTCCCCTCGGCTCGCCTGGTCTGCGTTCGCGCCGCCTCCGGTCAGCCGGCGGCCGGCCGCACAGACGACCCCCAGTTCCGACCTCTGGACATCGGCCGCCGGCGCGAAGTGGTGCAGCAGGCGCGCGAGCGGCGCCGCGCCACCCTGCCACCGCCGCGCCACGAGCGTCAGCCGGTGAACCAGCAGTGGGGGGACGTGTGGCCGGCTCCCAGGACCTTCCACCCGGACGCGGTGCCACTGCCGCTCAGACAGGGCTTCGTGAAGCGGCCCAACGCGCAGGCGCCGCCCGGGAAACACGCCAACGCCGAGCTGATGAAGATTGCGAACTTCCTCCACCTCACACCGCCGGTTATTGAGCGCCAGTGTCGCGCGCTGGCCAAGTTCTGTACCCCCTGGCCGGAGGGTCTCACTGACGAGCGTTTGGACGAGCTCCGGCCTCTGGAGGTCATCACTCAGGATTTCGTACACGCGTCGCCCACACTGCGACACCCGGATGCGCGCGTGGTCTCGCTCAAAATACCCCTCTCCTGTCTGGATCTCACCGAAACGGACCGCGACAAGCTCCTTCGTCTAGTCGGTGATCGACACGACCCGAAAACAGACGTCATCACCCTCACCGCCGACCGGTGTCCACTGCGTCGTCAGAACCGCGACTACGCTCTCTACCTACTCACGGTCCTCTACTTCGAGAGCTGCAAACGTGAGCCGTGGGAAGCGGAGCTTCGCACGGTTGCCGATGCTGAGAAGTTCGTGTGGGCGGGATCGGCGTCGGAGGCAGCCGTGGCGCCTCTTGGGGCTGCTGCCGATGTGGTTAACAGCTATGGTGAGGCCGTGACACGATTACACAACGAGGGAGAGGATGAGAGCACTCTGGCCGAGTACAGGAAGGCGGTGGTGGCGCTGCTCGGCTTGCCTGAACATGTGGGCGCGAACTGAGACGTGAAAAGACTGAAGGTGTTGCGGACTGAGGTGTACAGAGATAGTTGGTTGTCATGGAGACGAATTGAGTTCTGTCTCGCGACGTGGGACGGTGGATTGTATGTGTGTGTGTTCGCTGGGCAAGAGTGTTAAATGTTAGGAAAGCAGCGGGAGATGAAATAGGAAGACTTTCTTGCCGACATTGGATGATGTTTCTTTGCTGAGGAGGTTGAATGGCTTTGCTGAATGGCTATAGGGCACGTAAGCACGCTTTAAATTCGGTACAAGGTTGTTTAAAGGGAAATTTCGATGATGTCCAGTCCTTTTGTAAGCATCGAATTTTGTGAATGTACACGGGTCATGAAATTTTCCGTTTTGATGTAGTGCTGTTTTATGTGACAATGCTGACTGTCATAGTGACTGTCAGCAAAAGTCTTAAACTGATAGTTCTTTTTTTACGATTTGCTTTGATCGTGCAATATCTGTGTAGCAACGTTTGGATAGGGCTCTTTTCAAGTGAACCCAGATACGAATCTATTGCGATGATTTAATAGCAGTAATGCATAGCTCTTGCGAATAAAAATCAAACAGGCGAATGTTTGTCGTAGAAATATAAAGTCAGCCAACACATTCTTTCTCCCTCTGTGCTTCATGAATATGATCGTTGAGTTTCGGTGTTGCTGGAATGAATAGTTACGAGAGAGCTTGCACAGAAGGTCCCTCCAAATAAACTTTAGCTATGAGTGATAATAACGTGCCGTTACCTTTATGCGTTTCAACCAGCCATGAAGTATGACAACACCGTTTCGTCGTTTTTTGTTACCTCTCGGGCTATCGGATTCCAAACACGTCAGCTTGTGGCTCCCATTTATTGTCAACAACTACAATGCAATCACCATAAAACACAGTCAGTGCCATTACAATTTGCGGCGCGGCAAGCGTCGCTATCACTAAGTAATTGCCATGGCAACCTACCCTGGCAGTTTGGTAACACTGATTGTGGTATCAAACCATAGATCTTGGTCCGTTGGTTTTGCAGTCTAAACTGCAACGAATTGAATCAGACCCAGCGTACCGGGCTGCGATGCGACGTCAACTCAGGGAATGGCATAGTTGCTCTCATCAATGTCATGTACGTGCAACATCTCGTGTGGCAGCCAACATCGGCATAAAATGATAATTGCTAAATATGAACGCGAAGAACACCCGAAAATACGTTTTTGTAGGGTATGAACGATTAGATTCTAACTGATAGGCGCTCTCCTCGCAAAGACATCAGTTGACAAGAAGGAGACATCTTTCTGTATTGTTGGTAGCTCACCTTATCGCCCCTTTGAACAAAAATGCAGTACCTAATTTAGATACGGTGATACCTATGAGAACTGATCAAAATGATCAATGTCCTACTTTCCATTCGCCACATTCTTTCAGTCGCTCCTCTGTCGAATCACACAGTCCGTTCATCGCGTTCATCTATTCGCAAATGATCATTGATGTCACAGTCAACAGACGTATTTAACAACAAGTTTCAGTGTTTGTAGTTCCTGATAGATCAGCCTGCCCTCGGAAGCAGGCTGTCACGTGACACATTCAGCTCCTTGAAAATCGGAGCTTCACAGGAAAGGACTCTCCGTCGAGGAGCCAGTGCTGGCATCTACCGGCGCCTCGGTGCTGCCCTCTAGCGTGGCCGTATCCACCGCCGGTAGACTTCTCACGTAGTCGTCGTCGTAATAGTAATCGGATAGATCGTCATAGTAGAAGTAGTCTCCCTCGAACGGTGGGTAGTCCGTGGTGGAGACGGATCCGCCCGAGTTCGCGGAGCTCGCTGAGCTCTCGTCAGATTTGGCGGAGTCGCTGGCTGCGAACAGCTGCTGCTCCTGCCGGAGAGGCTGTTGGCCACCGTCGGTGCCTGTGCTCACCACGCTGTTTCGGACCGATTCGCCCGACTCCAGCAGGTCAACTGGTCCCCTCTGCTCCGCCTGACGCTGAGCCTGCAGGGCAGCAACCTCGCGGGCGGCCGCCCTTCGTCGAGCCAGCTCCTCGGCTACCAGCTTCTCCTGAGCTGTTCTCCTCTCCAGCTCTTCAGCTATGAGCTTCTCCTGAGCCGTCCGTCTTTCTAGCTCCTCGGCTACGAGCTTCTCCTGAGCTGTCCTTCTGTCCAGCTCCTCGGCCACCAGCTCCTTCTGGGACTCTCTCCTCTTCTCTTCTTCGGCCCTCCTCACAAGCTCTTCTTCCCTCCTCTTTTCCTCTTCAGCCCTCCGGACGAGTTCTTCTTCCCTTCTCTTCTCCTCCTCCGCTCTTCGTACCAGCTCCTCTTCTCTCCTTTTCTGTTCCTCCTGTATCGCCTTCTCGTGCGCCTCTAGTGCCAGCTCGTGCGCTGTTTTGGGTTTTGCGGTGGTGACGGGAGCCTCAGTCGTGGACCTTCTCAAAGCAGGCCTCCTTCTGGACACGACTCGAATCCTCTGCGGTCGCAACGATCGGGGAGCCGCCGTGGTGCCTTGCTGTTCCTCCGCCTTCTCCTCATCCTTGGGCATTTCGATGCGCACCTCGCCAACCGTCTGTTCCCCGCCATCTCGGCTGAGGTCCAGGCGTCTCCGGTTCACCTGCACGCGGCGTGGCGCGCTCGCCAGGAGACGCGGACGGCGAGCTCGCTCGACCCCCTCCTCGAACTGTACCGGGGAGAAGGTTGTGGGCTGTGGCAGCTCAGTCCGCCGCCGCGTGCCCAGCGGTACCAGACGCACGACCTGTTTGTGGATCACGTGCTCTGTGCTGGCCTCGGGTTCAGTGTCTTGGTCAGACTGGTCAGTGAACCCTGTCAAATCGGCTGGTCCTCTCGAAGCCTGATCAACGCCGGGGCCGTCAGCGAAGTCCTGGCTACTGACATCAGATTGTGCGTCAAATGATTGCTCCCGATTGGCGAAAGATTCTCTCCTAGCGGAGGCTTCGGCACCAGGCAGAATGAACGGTTCCTGTGTTCTCAGCTGGAACAGACCCTGTCCTATTTCGTCCAACCGCGCCGTGTCTTCATTTTGATCGCGACCGCGACCGAAACCGGGCTCCACCTGGATAATGGACCTGGCAGAGGTTCCACGAATTTCGTCATCGAATGGTGACGCGATAGTGCGTGCTGTGACATCTTCGATCACTTGTCTGGCGGCGCTGCGCTGGTCTTCAGTCTCTTCTCTTGGCGAGAGCAGCGATGGCAGGCGAGGTCGGAACGTGGGTCTTCCCAGCGGTCTGGGACGCGGATCCGCCTGGTCCGGACGAGGGGATATCCCCGTCCGGGGAGCCGGAGTGGTTCCCAGAAGAGAGCTGAGAGTTGAGCTCTCGATCAGGGTGATTTCTGATGTCTCAGCAACTCCAGGTCGGTTGTTAACGATGAGTCGTCGGTCTCCACCGGGCTGTGAGATCACAGTTCCGCGACCGATGATCTCAGGCGCCGCAGAGCCCGGCTTCCTTCGTACAAACACGGCCTGCTTCTGAATGGTGCGGTTGAAGAGCTCCCGGAGCTGTTCTCGGGTCATGTTGTCTTGCGCCTGGTCGCGAACGAACTGCTCGAAGGCGATTTCAGTGCGTTCGGCAGACGTGGTGGCTGGGAAAGCAGTGGTGATTGCCGGGGGTACAATGGTTCCTCGTCGGATGGATGCAGCCGCCTCGGTGGTCGGAGGATCGGTGATCTCCTGATCCGACTCTACGGAGGGTCCTGCAGTGGCTTCCTCCGTCGATTCCGTTGTTGAATCGACAGGGGATCGGTTGGAGCCTCTACGCAGAGTACTGAAACGGTTCCTTCTGCGTGTTTGGCTGAGACCAGGTCGGCGGAAACGGCTGAGAGCTGAGGATAGTGTCGTCGACTGTACCTGTTCTTCCTCCTCCTGTGCTGGCTGGCTCTCATCCTGAGGTTTTTCTGTGGTAGTGGCGGGGCGGGGCCGAAGTGGCAGACGTCGCCGAGAAGAACCAAACCTCGAGGACTGTCGACGGCGTGCCGCCGCAGAGAGACGCCTGCCGGGAGTGGCGGTCTCCTCCTCTCCACCCTGCTCCTCCCGCTGAGTATCCTCTGGCTCTGCCTCAGTACTCGTTTCTGTGGTTGTAGCGAGGCTCGGTCTCCGCCTTCTGCTGCTTGGTCTCCTCCTCCTGCCAGGTCTTGCCACAGCGAATCGAGATCTCTCAGTGGTCTCGACGGTCGCCGCCTCTGTTGTGGTTTCGGGTACAGCTTCGGTGGTGGTGACATCCTGTTCACGACGGGATGGACGGAAACGCCTGCGCCCAGGGCGTAGTCTGTTCAGCCGAGATTGAGAGCTGAATCGGCGGCTGCCACGGCTTGACTCGACTTCGTTCTCCTCAGCCGTGGTAGCCTCAGTCTCGGGCGTCTCTGTTGTGGTTGTGGTAGTTGGTGTAGTGGTTGTGGTGGTGGCGACAGTTGTTGTGGGGATCGTCGTGGGAACATCGCTCACCAGATTAGCGTCGTCGGTATACTCCGGGTAATCTTCGTACTGTGTATCATCCAGGTACTGGATGTTAAACTGGTCGTCTGCGTATTGAGGCTCTTCAGACTGCTGTGAAGCCGTCTGAGGCAGCCGACCACTGTCCGGCAGAGGACGCAGGGGGCCCAAACGCTGTCTTTGCTGCTCAATCAGTGTCTGGATGGTAGTGGGGCTGAGCGGCGGACGCCATGTGGTGGCCTCCTCCACTTCAGGCTCTGGGGCCTGACTCGGTGACGGGTCAACGAGCTGACTGAACTCCGTGGTCGTCTGCGGCTGGGGGAGTCCCACCGGCTGCCGAGGACGTGGACGGAACGAGCGGATGGTGGCCGGGGTGCGGCGCGGGATCGGTGATGGCGTGGTCGTCACGATCTCCGGTTCCGTCACTGGCTCCGCGGTGGTTACCTCCTGACGCCTCTGGTTCAGCGCGTTCAGGACTCGGATGGGCGGCACCACGCGTCCAGTGGGACGTTCTCCACGATCCCGCGAGCCTCGAGAAGTGGTGGTGTCTTCCGTGACGAAGGGACGCAGAGTGCTGTCTTCGGCGCCTCTGAACCCTTCATCTGCCGATTCCACAGGACGGTACGTGGTGCTCACGATCCGTCGGCCCTGTTCGTCGTCAATGATGACGATGTCTTCGTTGACGTCTCCAGCGATGTCGTACTCGTATTCAGCAACCTCATATCCAGGAGGGATTTCATCCAGGAATGAAACGCCGTCAGAGGTCCCCGCAGGGGTGTTAGACTGCTGACTAGCAACGGACGGCTCCGTGATTCTGCTGGAGTCTTGTCCGAACTGTTGGAAGGGCGAGTTGAAAGAATTGTCGGTGAGTGGCCGGCGCGACTGCTGTCTCAATGACGATGATCCCAGGTTGTCCGTCTGCGTGCGCCGGGACTGTGACCGGAAGTTCGGCCCACGATCGGAGGAGAGCCGCTGCCTCGGTGGACCTCCCGGAATCCGCCTCTCGGCTCCAGGTGCTGCCTCCTCTTCAGCGCTCACCAGTGGGTCCCTCACCAGTGTCTGATCAAACGCGCTGTCGGGCAAGGAACGACCCTCCTTTGCTCTCAGCAGCTTCTTGGCGAGTTCAATCTCAGCCCGTAGCTTGACCAGCTCCTCCGCCGGAATCTCACGCACCGTGCCATCAGGATACTCGAACACGTAGTCGTAGTAATAGTCGTACTCGACGTCTTCTTCGGGAGCTCCCGGTACGCTGGTGTCGAGGTTCGCCTGACTGGTGGGTCGCGGCAGCTGCTGCTCGGAGCCGGTCCTCAGTGATGGGACCGTGGTGGGCGCTGGACGCTCGGTGGTGGTGGCGGTGGGAGTGGTAGTAGTAGTGGTTGTGGTGGTGGTGGTGGTGGTGGTAGTCGGAGGTTCCGTAGTGGTGGTCGGAGGGTCGGTGGCCAGTGGCCGACGCAGACGGTTCGATCCGCGTCCTCTCGTCCGCTGGCGGAAACGATTGCGTGCCGAGCCTCGGTTCTGAAACAGAGGATAGACGGTCAACACACTGCTAAACAGAACTGATGGGGTATAGATACATTTGTTAGTGAAGCAACTCAAGTTCTTCAATTGAATTCTGACCAACTATAAGGTTTTGGGAAGCGGTCGTTCTAGTGAATAACGCACGCCAAATTAATGGTACCGTCATCGAATGGTTTTATGGGGTAGGAATAGGATGATGTTTCACACTGCTTCCTTTCGAGCAAACACTAATCATGAAAATGAAGATTTTCGTTTTGTCTCACGACAAGCTTTCAAGTCTCTTTGCCTTCATCTACAATTTCAGGGAGATCTCAATCTCATCTCACTCTCACTTACCTCAGTTGCTGAGCTCGGTGGCCGGATGGCCACAGGTCTCTGCCGGCGGGTCGATTGCGGCGCGGGGGTCTCCGGCTCGGTCGCAGCGGTCGTGGTCGGTTCCTCGCTAGTGGTGAGACGCGGCGGTAGTGTGGTCGTAAGACGGAACACCTGAGGCGCGCGGCTGCCAGGTCGGCGGATGGTGACGCCTCGGCGACTTCCCTGCAGTCCAGGCATTGGAATGTGATGAACAGATTGCAAACAATCCCCGGAGAAGGACCAGAGATTTGTGGTGGGCATGCACACTGGCGGCGGCCTTTGAGAGTTTGGGATATTTTCCCCATTTAGGTCCGATTTTCATAATTACGCTTATACAAGTGCACAGTAAAAATGAACAGCCGATCATCAATTTCGAAAGGGGTGGCCGAGGTAACTTTTACCTCACTTTGCGGCCGCCAGTGCATGTGTATTCAGCATTGTGTCCTTAGTGAGAGTGGGAAATTTATGGTATGCATAATATTACACATAGTGCGTGTTTTAGTGTATTATTATGTATATTTACATGTTTGCTTATTCATTATCATTATATCCTTTAAGGTTTGTGAGCGGACGTGTGTTGTGTAGTCATTGTGGTGCATAAACGAGCAATTATTATCTTAGCTGCAAACTTTTTTTAAATTCGGTGACCATTGGTTATTGAATAAGGAATGGGGAGATCGATCTCAAATGTGGGCACTGGGCGCTGATGGCGATGCATCGAATGCTAAACGATAAACGTCAGGGGCAGCGGGGATATGAAACACATCAAAAGTTGAAGAGAATTTAAAGGAGCGTTGACAATGCTCAAATCATTTATCGACCAATAATTGACATCCGAAGGATCATAGGGATACGAATGGCGACTACATTTTCTAGGCATGCTTTCCTTCATGCCTACTTTCCTCGCCACGTGCCGTTTACGCCACACTTTTATTATTTATACAGAGACGATCCATCACCCACAAGCCACACTACCAGGATAACAATACAGGGTCAGGCCACAGGTCAACCACCCTGTCCCCCACCAGGTCAACTCAGGCGTATCGGTATAGTCGGTGCAGTCAGCGTGTCTTTGTACAAATGCCAGTCGTCACTTGGCGTGGGATTGCGTGTGTGAGAGACCAATACGGGTCTGCCGCTTCAATGGACGATCGGACACTTACTTGTTGAACTCGTAGAGACCATTGGCAGGATCGTCTTCCCCGGATCTCATAATTCTAGTCGCCAGTCGGTTCATGGTCAGGGCGTGTTTGGTTTAGAGTACTTTGACGGTTTCGCTTGTATATTGGATTATCTTCACACACATCATCCAACATGATTAGCTCGCGAAAGCGCAGTCACGAAGGCTAGAAACAACATGGATTGACCACGGCACATGAGACACACTTCACTCTTAACAGAACAACAAACAAAGGAGTAAATACACGAGCTATCATCATACATCCTGAGCACGCTTGGTTGACATCTCGAGGGAAAACATTGAGCATTGTTTACATCGGACCCATCGGATATGCGTGACGATGATCACATACAACTCTCGCTCGCTCGCTGAACCTATTCTAGCCGCTCGAACGCGCGCAATGCAAATTCTGATCTCCTAAAGGGTTTCGTGAATATCTTTGTAAAAGAGTGACGCTTTTAGAACCCCACGGGGAAATGGTGCATTACCTATGTAGGGGCCAAAGAATCATTGGAAACCAGGAAATAGCAAGCGGTAACCAGGGCCTTCTTCTGGGCGAAAAGCCAGTTCCATGACCTGCACGCCTGTGACTCAGTTTACGACACGGTTCAGCTTCACGCAGCTCTACATTCAACTCTTTCAACATCTGCTTGAATAAATGTCCATTTGATCGTCACAGGGCTCAAGCACACTTGGGTTCTTTTTATGCGTTGCTGTTTTTCCTCACTTCTTTCTCCCATCCAGCACGGTTTTCATTTATTTGATCCTGATCTAGCAATGCACTGTTCATTCAACGCAGCAGCATCACTCCACGACGCATTCACGCACAAATTAAATAACTTCGAATCTCTGCGCAGTTACTCCTCTTCAGCCTCTGCCGAGCCCAATTGTACCGATACAACAGTTCTATTCTTCCGCAGGCGCTCGTCGACCCAATCACACCGTCCTTCGTACTGGCTGACCACACTGCTAGGACGTCCATCTTGCCTGAGAGCACCCTTATGACGTCACATTTCTACTCTGGTCTCCAGCCAGGATGGCCCGCTCTCAGAGCCACCGCAGCAGCAGCGCGGCGCCCGCCGCCAACGTCCAGCAGAGCAGTCCTGGCGAAGCTGCCGGAGCTGAGTTGGAGATGAACGTCTTCCTCTTGAAGAGGCTGTCCGGATCCCTGTACCGAGGCGTGACGGTGGAGTAGGCCAGCACTTCCTCCTGGTCTAGCAGACTCTCCTTGGGATCCTGCCCGGCCGCGCTGGGGTCACCGCTAGATGCCAGCACTGCCGGCGGCTTGTTCAGCAGTGAGGAGCTCTGAGCTCCATCGTGGCTGTGGTCAGCATGGTCGGCATGATCATCGTGATCGTGATGGACGTGCTCCTCAGCTTCTTCCAGTGGTGATTCCTCAACATCTACCTCAGTCTCTCCACGAGGCAGAGGCGACGTAGGCCGTGCCGAATCGTCCGCCCACATGGTGAAGAGCGCCTCAACGGGAGAGACGGACGGCTTGGGCGAGGTGATTCCCCCGGCTGGCGGGGCCTCCTGCTCTGAGGAGACGCTGACCTTCACGGAGACGAACGAATCTCCGCCAGCAGCGGCGGAGGCCGGGGGTGGCAGGGTGGCGGCAGTGATGATCACAGCACCATCGGAGCCAACAATGACGGGACGCTGCGTGGTAATCGAGGGACCGACGATGAACACGCGTCCGCCGCGGTTGGAGCCAGGCGCTTCGGCAAGAGACTCTGAGTCGGAGTCTCCGCTGGATTCTGTGGTCTCCTCGACAGCAAAGTCGTCATCAGAAGAAGACTCCTGGTTGAACTCTGTGGCGTAGACGGTAGGCGCCTCAGTGAGCTCGTCAAACTCATCAGCCTCTTCAACAGACGAGACGTCCTCGGCAGCTACAACAACGGGGCCGGCCTCTTCAGCCACATCCTCAGCACTCTCTTCTGTAACATCTGCTGCTGCATTGACGGCTTCCTCAACCGTCGAATCGATCTCCGTGTCGACATCAGCGACCTCCTCTGCGACTCCTGCCTCCACGACTTCTTGAACCTGCTCAATTGTCTCCTGAATCTCCTCCAGGGCCTGTTCTGCCTTCTCAGTAGCGCTGTCTGCGGCGTCAACTTCGCTCTCAGTGTGTGGCGCAGGGCCGTGAAGCGTCACAGACGTGGTGGCTACGATCACTTCGGCCACTGCGCCGCCCTCAGTTGTGCTCTCTGTCGTGATGGTGGCCAGAGCACCGGACTCGGTGGCGGCCGTCGGCTGCTCAGTGGCGGACGCTTCGTCAGTGGATTCTCCCGCCTCCTCTGCCGATGTCTCAGTGGCGGGCTCTTCAGTGGCAGTGATTTGTTCCTCCAGAGATGATCTCAGCTGCTCCACCAGGCTCTGCACATCCGGCTTCTTGTTTTCACGCGACTTGACCAGTTCGGAGAGGCTGAGACGCGGCGCGGACGGTCGCTGTCTGAACAGAGGTCGGCGGGTGACGGGATCGGGGATGTCTCCGTTGACACGTCGAGCGACGAGGCCGGGCGGCAGTGGCAGGCCCGAGGACTCAGTCGGAATTGGCTCGATCTCCGTGGTGGTAGTGGTGCTGGCAGTGCTGGTGGTTGTCGTGGTGCTAGCCGTCGTCGAGGGCTCCTCGGGTTCCTCGGACGGTACCGGCAGGGGCGAGATGAACGGGTTTGGTCTTCTCTCGCTGCCAGCCAGACGGTCCCTCAGACTGCTAGTGCGCCGGCTGCTCGGAGGTCTGAAGGGGAAGGGTCGTGGCCGCGGCGGGCCATCATCCGGCTGCTGACTGCGGAGCTCGAACACCGTCTGTCGGTGAATCTCCTGTTCAGCCGGGTCAACCTCCTCCTCCTGTTCGGCCTCAGTGGTGGTCTGAGCTGCGGTGGCAGTCTCAGTGGTAGTTGTGGTGGTCGTGGTCGTGGTGGCCTCGGTCTCAGTGGTCTCCGGGCGGCGGCGGCCAGCCAGGAGAGGGCTCGGTCGCTGCCTGTTGCGGGCCAGAGGATCGGGTCTCTGGCGTCGGCCAAGCAGTCCCGGACGCCTTAGCTGAAGGCCTCCAGTGGCATCTTCATCCTGTTCCTCAGCATCAGGGGTGGTCTCCTCAGCAGTAGCGGCTGGCCTCAGCCTGAAAGGCGGTCGCTCTGGCTGCTCCTCTACAGTCTCTTTTGCGGTGGCCTCAGTCGTTGTCGTAGTCGGTCTCTGCCGGCGGAGAGAAGGCCTGCCTGGACGGAGCGGTCTCCTGTCAAACCTTCCCGGCCTTCCGGGGCGCCCCAGTCTCTGAGCTGTATCGGGCGCGACTTCCTCCTGCTCTTCCTCCGCGATGATGGAGGGCTCGGTGGGCTGGACGGCATCGGGCAGCGGCGGGAAGGTGTTGGAAGCCTGGCGACCGGTCGTGGAGATGGCTGCCAGCTCTTGTTCCGTTATCTGAAGCTCTTCGGGCTCTTCAGGAGCGGGGCGCACGACTGGCCTGCCGCGACCTCTGGTGCGGAAGCGACCGCGACCCCTGCCGCGCAGATTCGTAGACTGACCGGGCAAGACGAACCGTGCCGAACCGCGCTCTGTGGTGGAAGTCAACTCCACGGCCTCTGTGCTCTGTTCGGGTGCCTCCTCTTCCTCCACCACCTCCGCTGGGGTTTCCTCAGTCGTCGGGCGACGCTGGCGGAGTCTGTTCCTCCTGCCACCTCCGCGGAACCGCCGTCCTCCAATCCTCTGGGGCGCGGGTGCGGGCGCCACTGTGGCGGGCGCCGGGGTGGGCTCAGTCTCCTCTTGGGCGTCCACGGGGTCCTCAGTGGGGATTCCTCGGCGTCGGCTGGTCAGGCGGCGTCCGGACGTCACGCGTCGCCTTCCCGGACGGTTGAACCTGCTGGACCCCCTGACGAAACCACGGCTGGGCGTAGCTGTCGACTCTGTGACCTCGACTGGCTCCTGAGGCTCCGGGGCAGAGGTGGTTACCTCCTGGGGTGGCACGGTGTCGGCCCTCTCCGTCAGCAGGTTGGACACCTCAGGGGCGGGCTGCGGCGTGGTGGGTCCCTGAAGAAGGAGCTCCTCTGGACGATCATCCACGGTCACCTCATTCTCGCTCAGCTCTGGCAGCTGGCTGGTGGGGGGCTGTGTGGTTTCCGTGATTACCTCCTCTGCGTCGCCACGAGGCCGCTTCAGTCGGATCACCCTCACCCTTCGCTGATCATCAACGCTCTGGTTTACCTCTTCCGAGTTCTCAGTGGGACGACGCACACGGACACGAATACGCGGGGGTCGCACAGATTCCACAGTGGGCGGGGGCGGGGGCGGCACAGTCTCAGTCGGGGTCTCCACAACGTCAACACTGGTGTCAGTGGGCACAGCGAACAACAGGTTCGTGTCGCGAGTCGCGGCGTCCAGGTCGGTTAGTTGGTTGGCCTCTACAGAGCCGTCGCTAATGTCCGAGTTAGCGGGCGCGCGTCCAGCGAAAGCGTTGAGCAGGACGAGAGCCGGATCGGCGGTAGCGTCAGGTCGTGAGTCCGTCACCTGCGAACCGAGGATCGGGCGGCGCGTCAGACTTTTGGCGCCGCGCTCTGGTCGGCCGGTCGGTAGCTGATACCCTCGAGGAGATTGGCACTCTGAGCAAACCAAGGAGGGTCGATTGGCTGGCTTCGCTAGGCGTTTTGCTTCAGCGTGAAGGAGCAAATCGGATCGTTAATTATTTTCTTCGATTAAATATCGAAGCAGTTTTGTCTCAGTTCTGTTGAATTTAGTTCGATTTCTATTCAGGGGTCAAGTGATTCTGTGTTTTGGATCGTTCAGCAATCTATGAAGCTCATGATTTGTGTGCCGGCCTCCAGTTGGGTTTTCAGCTCCGAACTCGACCGATATTGGTCGCAGCCGGGCCTTGGAAGGGCAGGTAACCATGGCAACCGAGACCGCCTCAAAATCCCGACCCACTACAGGCAGGCCATCTAGCGGCGTGTTCTTTGACTGACCCAATCACTCGGAAGCGGATCATCGCTGCGGTGCTTCCAAACACCGTGCGAGGATCCGCGCCGCGAGGAGCGGTCGACACGCCATCTATTGTAAGCGTTAGTTGAGTTGCCACACCACCGCCCCTTCCGAAACCCGACCGATTAGACCACATACTAATCTAGACTAGCGGTACTATATGTCATATCAACGTGCGGCATATCACCAGAACAAGGCACGCGCATCCCTCAACCTCGCTTTGACATCGGGCTCCTCATACAGTCCCCAGGCCAGGAGGGCATAAATAATCGTCTCTGGAAAGGCGACAGTCTCTCCATTTCATATTCAGTTTAGATGCTAAAGCACCCCCACTGTCTATTGTCTTTCGTCATAGAAGCGCTTTTCAGAACAGTATGGTACACCCCAGCGTGTCATTTGTCAAGTTGAGAACATCCTATCCGAGGTCTAACCAGTCTTATGGCTTGGCGTCTGAACGTCTCAAGCGCCCGGTCGCTATGAAGCACATTTTCGCGGCAGATTTTCATTCACACGCTAACCCGATCAAGCAAGTTCAAGGCCTCTTCACAGCAGAGTTCACTAACCTGAGGTCGGCCTCGCCGGGATGGGAGTCGCTCCGGAGCTGGGGCACCTTCCAGAGGAGGCACCGGAGTAGTGGGACGACCGCGGCGCAGCGTCACGTATCTGGAATGAGCGTTCGCCTACGTCAACATCCTGATCCTTGAGATATCTGGAAAAGTCTTCTTCTCCGATAAGCATTGTTACGTTGACACCAACGACCAATGACCAGAATGTCATGAGATCCTGAGAGACAAAGAGCCTACGATATCCATCACGGGTCGAATTGCCAACCGAGAAGGGAGAACACAACCATCAAATACCTCACTGAAGGTCGACTTAGACTTAGTTCACGAGCAAAAACACGTCCGTTCTCAATATAACAGTGGCATCCGATCTCGACTAATGTCCACCCAGTTGTCGCACTCACTCTCTGCCAGTGTCCGGGTCCACCTCTCCCCGCTGTTCCTGCTCAGCCGAGGCAGCCGCCGGTGAGCCCCGCTGCCTGTTCAGGGTCACGTAGCGACGCTGACCGGGTCCAGAGACCGACTCCTGCTCCTGGGCGGTGTCCTGCTCCTGAATAGTGGGCTCAGTCGGCCTCGACTCCCTGCGAAGGACACGAGCGAGGTATTAGAGTTTGATAGGTATCAGATGATGGCTACTGGGACGAGTCATCGAGGGTCAAGGAGCTCAATCCAGAGATTGCAATATCGGGATCAAGATGTCGGACTCTCGCCTCCCGATGGGATCATCGATCCTAATCCCGAAATGCCGCCAACCCCAGAAGAAAATGAGATATCATTTCACTAGTGCAGTGCTTGCATTTTGGCGATCCCTCTCGACCGGAGATGACTCAGTGGCCACGGGCAATGTCTACCTGTTGCGCTGGATGCTGGAGTACTGTGGTCGTCGGCGGGCGTTCGGCCGTCCGCCAGACGTCACCTCGACCTGCTCTTCCTGCTGACTGCGGGTCGGGGTCGGACGACGCCGACGGGCGTTCGACCGAGAACCGGGCGTGACCTCGACCTCCTCCTGCTGGGGTGTCGGAGGACGGCGCCGGCTGGAGGTGCCCGTCCTCAGCCGAGTGCGCGAGTTGGTGCGCGAGTTGGTGCGCGAGTTGGTACGCGAGTTAGTACGTGAGCTGGTGTCCTCCGAGGTTGTGGTCGTCGGGCGACGGTCACGAGCAATCGACGTGTACCTGTATGGAAGAGAATCCGAAAGTTAGCCACATGGATAGCTGTCTATGACCAACACAGTCCGGGCTTGCCTAAAACCCAACCATCATCATCATCACCATCATCATCAGTCGTATGGCGACGGACGTCCATGCGGCAACTTTCGACAACTTTCAACAACTTTCGACTCTGTTATCATCAGTAGCAGCTCTATGACGCTCAAGCCAGGCCCGACACCCACCTCGGTGTGCTGGTCTCCCGCTGGGGCGTCTCTCCGACGATCTTGTTGAGCGTCTTCCTGGTCTTCTCGCTGATCTGCGGGGAAGCAGGATCGCTGTCGCCCTCCAGAAGCTTCTTCACGCCCTCGACACCGCCTGGAAGAAGGGATTTGTACCGGTTAGATCATGGATGCATATTTCCTTCAGAAATTGTCCCATGCAAGAGACGGTCGCTAGTCGCAAAAGTGCTAGTGATCTCTGCAACTACGAGCATGATTCGTATGACTCGAAATTCGAATGACTAGTCGCCGAATGTGTTTGAGGATTGGATTCAAGGACTGACGTAAAGGTGAGGTAACTTACCGATTCTCTGGATGAGCTCAAGGATCTGTTTCAGCTCCGAGGGGTCTGACTCTTCCTCCTGGGGTGCCGCCGATCCGGCCTCAGTCTTGGCCACGGAACTGCCGCCACGAGAGCCGCCGAGCACCTGGATGGAGAACATCGTCAGACTCAGTACACTGTGTTCACGAACGACATTCGAACCATCTATGTGCGAAATTTTTATCCGCTTTCGAAACCTAGAAAAGCGACCAAGATACTTATCAACTGAGACACTCCCCTTAACATGCTTCAGCAAGCCCCAGAGCTCAGCATGATTCCCACTATCTCATTGGTGGTTGCAATGGTGGCCTACTGTTTAAAAGTGTGGTAAATATCGTCTTACCTCCTGCGCCGCGGGCTGACCGCTGACAGGGACCGGCAGATCCGCTCCCAGACCACTGTCGGGGAAATCGAGGTCCAGCGGTGGCAGGTCGGCAGGATCGTAGTCCTCGTAGTACTCATCCAGCGGGTCTTCAGTGACAGTGCCGGGGGCGAGCGACGGACCCACGCCAATCACGGGCTCCTTAGTGGGCGGGAACGTGATGGACACGACCTCCTTGACCGCAACCTGTCGGGAGAGGCAAACGCGGCGTGTTAATAAATGTCAGCAGGATTAATTAGCAGTCGCAATTGCTAAGCGTTGAGCGATTTCTAAATTTTTCTGGACTCTATGATTAAAGCTAGCAAGATGCGTGATATGTGATTGATCATGGAGTCATTACAAATTACGATGGAACTAATGCGCCACATTTGTACTAAAAACTTGTTCAATGTCTTCCGGGCGGTCCTGGCACTAAACGACCAGAAACCGGTTCAAATATGCTTCTTGAGTGACCACCAGTGATCCAAGCCCTGATGGCATTGTCCACTGGAAGTCGTCATCGACACATTCTCATGAGTTTCTACCGAGGGAGCAGCGCGATGACCTCCAGCACACTGACCTTGCACTTGACATTTCTGGGGAAGTCACAGGCGTCCGTGCGTCGGTTGAAGAGCAGACCCGAGGGGCAGGTGAAACTGTGCGGAACGACGCCCAGGGGTCCTCCGGCCAGACACCAGAAGTACTTGTTGCACTCCTCCGGATGGGGGAAGAAGCCCTCACGCTTACAGCTGAAGTCTGTCGGAAGACGGGGCAGAAGGTGAAGTGAGAATGAAGGTGAATGTCATGTGGAAGAACAGCTGGTCTGGCTGCATGGATGGCCATGGATTGCATGGGTTGGAAGGCAGCATATGGTTTGATAAGCTACTACTTTTGCAGTTTTTCATTTCAGTAACGACTTTGTATCGTCCAGCGATATGACTGCCATGGTCTTTTCGTCGCTTTGTTCGTCACAATCCTCGGATATCAACACCGATATCGTGGCCGTTGATAAGTCCCTGATCTATCAAGCTGGCACGTCGTAGCCAAATACAGTCCACATGGTCGATCTATGTAGGTTCAAAGCCGTCAGAACCGTTTGGAATTGAATTTGACCTACCTGCTCCAGGGTCGGGGGTGGCGGGCGGTGGCGGAGTCGGTCCCTTGGCCTGCTTCGGTGGGCTCCTGCAACATGGAGACAGAACAAATGGTCAATTAAGCTGGCCACTGGCAATTCTTGCATGTCGACTTTAGACTACAAACAGGAATTATCGGTTTAGTGGGTCAAACATACCACAGTTTTCCGGCAAACAGCACAGATGATCCATTATATTCCAACCAAGCTGTGCGTTCGCTGACAGAACAACCCTGGTGCATACCTATGTCCTTATATCGACTTGATGCCTCCCAAACAAGCAAACATGAATCAAAAACTCACCCGGGCGCCGGTGCCAGGTAGGCCTCCTTGGCTGCCTCAATCAGCGGATACGGCTTGCCGGAACAGCGGCCGCGGAAATCGTCGTTGTCGATGGACCAGAACATGATGCCTCCGAGGTGGTTGTCGCGCACGTACTCAGCCTGTGGAGAGAAGACGAAGTCAGCGGTTGAATGGTACGGACAGCTTTTGTCAGCGGTAAGCTGGTGGCTAAACACGTGATTTTCTCTTCCATTTTCTTTCATTTGATTATGCATCGATATGCGCAAATAGACTCCCTCGTGAAGGTTTTATAGACACACTGAAGCACGTGCGGGTTGAAATCACAGCTGAGTGTCGTTGTCTGCTGTCTGGAATCAGCACCGCTAAAGCAGCACCTTTTGATATAAAGCCAGGCGCCAGCTTCCAGCAGCGTCGCGAGCATCATCTATGATCTAAATCCCCTCTTCATACGATACGGGGCTTATGCTCGGTCATTTAAAACGACATGGTGCTGCATTGTCCCTGCTCAGTGCTCAGTGTTAAATACGGACGTAACCTTCGGTCGTTTTTGGTATGACAAAGCTGCGGTCCCGTGTTACAAGAAGTCAGAAGCCTTTGAAGCCCACGGGTCTCAGAGAATGTGTCATCAGACATCTACGTAGACCAACTTTCAGGCCAACACGGCATTCGGTCTTATCTGTAGGTCTCAAGCTTTCGTCACTCAATCAATAATCAGAGCCTTGTCAAAGACTAGAAAGTTCAAACATAGCTTACATATCCTGTTATCAATAAGAGACCGGAGACATATCACAACATTAAACCGCCCACATTGTCCGGCAGTCATGTCTAAGAGTTTTGGCCCAGCGTTCTCCGCCAGTCGTGACTGCAGCTCAGTAGTTTGTTTTCTCCTCCGTGACGCTCGGCGGTTTTCGTGGCCAGTTCGCCGCCCGTACGGCCGGTTCAGCCATTTGATTTCCACTGCTTTGACCACAGTCCGGTGGTTTACGAGTCTGCTCGCGCGAAAATCCCCGCAATGGCATTCCCAAAGTCCGGAACGTTTATCACATCGGGCTTTAGTCCCCGCCATTTCACATTCCGCGAATTTCCTAGCGAGCTGAATCCCGAAGCTATCAGAAGCTGTTTGTTCGCTTTCATTAAGTTATTTTTTTTCATTATTTTTCATTTATTTCATTTATTTTTTATCATTTCATTTTTATTATATCATTTCATTTATTTTTTATTTTCATTACGCGTTAGCGTAAACTCTCGCCTAGAAAAGCGAACATCGTGTACCGTTCAGATCCAGTGCCAACTATCTGCGATCCAACTTTCTCTGTTGAGGCCGGCCCAAGGCCGGTTTTTCATTCTCGTTCTGTCTGCACGGTAGGTATAGTAAAGCCGCGAACTTTCTTCAAACAGCGATTATCTCGTCTCTCTTTCTCCCTCTCCCTCTCGCCTCCCCCTCTCTCTCTCTCTCCTAGGGAGAGTGTCAGCGTGGTGTCGCACTTGTTCTCAGTACAAATCCGACTCAGAACTGGCGATGCGAGCTGATAAGATCTTTAGATAACGGGAGACAGACTGTAGGAGTGCCGAGCAGAAAATAAGTACGAACTGCACTGATTCTCACCTTTTTGCGTACGATGAATTCGTCGTCGTATCCGACCCACTGCTTGCCCTTGGTGGCGTAGGGTCCCATCTCCTCCGGGTAGGGACGGTACACGCTCCACTCGTCCACGGCGACATTCTCGCAGATCTAAGGACATGAGAAAACAACGGTTATAGTGTGGACTTTCAGACAGACTCTGGAGACGCCGCTCCACTCGTCAACGGCGACGTTCTCGCAGATCTGAGGGACAGAGAGGTGACATCGGTGAGCAAATCCAGATAGAATCTAGAAATACGTTAACAGGTCTGAGGGCACCGATACGACAGCGGTTATTGCAAGCACTTTCAGACAGAATCTAGGGGCATTCTCGCAAGTTTGTAGGGAAAGGGATAACACCGGTGTGAGGGGTCATGCTCATTCAAACAGACTCTTTGTCTTGTACAATAAACTTGAGTTATTATCGTCATTTTACTATGTTTCAAAGTCTCGACGAATGACGTATAGGCTGAGAAACGGAAGAAGTAAAATCTATCGGCACATCCGGTTCAGACCGATGTCATTTCGACATTTGTGATTAACAGGGAAACATATCGCTAACTTGAGAACGTCATATCTGCACTTATTTGGGTAGGTATAACATGATCCCAAGCGGTCCTGAGAATGAAAAGAAACTGATCACGAACAACAAACTTACGTAACCAGCAACCCGCACAATTAATCCCAAATGCAACGTTCACATCCATTACACTGCACGACCGCATGCAGCGCTTACGTCGTTTGTCACAACCCCTGGAGCCTGCCGAGCGGCGTGGGAAATGGGCGGGCGTGACCCCTGAGCCGGAAGTTGGTGTCGCTTGACCTCGGGGTCACCATCCACCGATCACGGAGTGCAGGCCGCCGATCACGAGCTAGCGATCACGAACCGTTTCCTAGTTGGTATACTCAGCTGCGCAGTCCGCGCTGCAATCTGTGCTGGGGAATTTAGTCTCATGTTTTGACTTCACTTGAGGGGGCGTTCTAACTTCGCATAACAGGACGATGCTTTGCAATATTCCACCGAGCTGTCGAAGGAATTAAGCGGCTCGCTATGTGCTACATTTTATTTAACCGTTCTTTTCGTCGCATCATTTGAATGACAGGACATTTCCTTATTGCATCGACTATGTACACAAAACACGGAATTTGATGCTTGGATTCGACGTTCCGGCGTGTTTTGACGCAGCGTCGTCGCCCACGAGGGACCATCCACTGTACGTGCCGCAGCTCACAGCTCTGTAGCAGCGCCTTGCGCCTCCTGTCTGCACCGGAACAGAGCCGATCTCACTTTCACACCAAGGCCTATCCGGCGGGGCCGGATGTGACCGACCTCTGAGGCGCTCCCGTGACCCCGCCCTGACCTGCCGGGGGCACTTGTGGGTGTCCCGAGTCTAGGGGGAGCGGCGGACTCGGCGGCAATCGGCTCTCTCTCTCTCTCTCTCTCTCTCTCTCTCTCTCTCTCTCTCTCTCTCTTTCTTGTTCTCTATCTCCTTCTCGAACAGCATCTACTCACTCCATTATGGTTATGAAGCGTTTTTGCGTTTCAACAGGAACATCATTGCTCCTCGAACATTGGACATCATTAGCATCATGATGAGCATCATTAGCAGGAACATCATTGACTGTATGAACCAAATTAGTAATTAGCACGCTCTCCAGAATTTGAATAGGTTTCTTTTGGTCCATTTGAATCGGTTTCTTCTATCTTCCGTAGATGAATGGATAGGATGCTCAGCTCTACCTAACATAAACGATCATGTGTACTGTGTAGGTACTCATTAATTCCTTAAACGCGCTCTAATATTGAATGGGTGTCCATAGATGGATGTTGGGGTGTTCCGCACTACCCAAACAGAATCGATTAGTCTCCTCATTCCTCAATGACCGACCCATTCATCTTTTCGTTATGTAATCTCCTGTCCTGTCGGATGTCTGTTCCTTCCCCCGCGGGGACGCGTCAGCTACAAATGACCACCAGTCGCTATGTCCCAACATACCTAACGTCAAATTCCGTCATGGTGTGCGAGGTGCCAGCTCGAGCTTTGAGCTGCACCCCGCGCTGCGACAGCCCTCAGGGCGCGGCGGGCGGCTGCGCGTGCGAAAAGGTTTCACTTTCAGCGGCCGGTGTGGCGTGTGCCCCCGGCCGGCCGAGCCGGGCGCGCCGCGCGCCGCGCCGCGGCTAGGACGGGGGCTAGTTTCTCTCTGTCGTCATCAGCCTACGGCGTCTGCTCGACGATGTGAAACTCTCAATTAGAATGCGGCTCCGAGAGGCGCGGACGCCCAGGAAGGTGAGGCGATCTTAGGAGGTCAGACGGGGTTCCGGATGCGCCGGTTTTGACTCGGCTCGAGGCCAGCCGGGGTGGGGTGGGGTGCTTCAAATGGGCAGCTGTGGTGTGCAAAATGAGGCCTCGCGCCCAGTAGCGGCATGGAGATCGGGCGGAGCATGGCGTGAAGCTGCTCTGGAACTGGCACAGGTCCGGTGCAGACCACATTAGCATAGATGCTCTCAGCTCTCTGCATTGTCATTTCAATCGGTGCGTTCGATTTTGGTCACTGCTTGACTGGACTTTCCTTGAGTGGGATCTATAAACATGGGAATGACAAGCATGCTGGAAAGCTCAGACATGTGAGCGGAAAGTGAGACGTCATCGTTCCGTGTTTTTGGAATCACCCGTGCGCGCACTAACTTTACCTAAAAGGCTAAGTGCAGAAAAGTCACCGCGGTAAGGCATACCGCTAACATCTTGCACGCATGGCTATCTGCTTGGTATGCGAGCTGGACATTCGTGTTTACGAGATCCCGTGCTCGCCCTAAGCGACAACTTTCTACGATCTCCGCCGTAAGAGGCATCAGCTATTCTGTCCACGTGCGCTGAGCACATTTCTCCGCGACAATCTCCGGTGGAATGGTAAACTCGGGCTGTGATTGGTCGACGCTGGTGCTTCTGCAGTCGGCACTCGGCGAGAACAGAATGTGCGTGAGACATCGTCGGTCATGCAAGAATGTCTCCGAAAAGCCGCTCCATTGTTCACGACACAGGAACGCGGATGTCGCTACTTAGGACGGGTTCATGTGATGGGTGACTGAGGATCCTGCCGCCCGGGAAAACGGCCGAACGAGCGTCGAGCAGGTGCATTAAATCCTCGAATTCTCGACGTACGCTGGTCGAAAATGTGGCCAGCTCGCGCGGAATTCTACTCATCGATTTCACTGTAGACGAGGTGACGCCTATACCGGTCCGTTTCCCTTTCTGCTTAAGAATTACGAGTATCGCAGACTTGTCAATATCATTAGCATTAGTAACTTGAAAAATAACACAAATATCAGCCCCTTCGGCGCCCGTCACCGATATACCTACTCCATAGAAGCCTGAAGCCAACTCACCTCGTAGAAGCTGAGATAGCCCTCCTCCTTGGTGTATTTTCCCTTCAGTCCGGGGCTCTCGGCAGCCGCCTGCACGCCGCTGAAGTTCTCATCCAGCAACGTGTAGGACCTGCCGTACGTGGGGATGCCGACCACTAGCTTCCTGCGCTCGGCGCCCAGCTTCAGGTAGAAGCGCACCGTGTAGTCCTGTGGGAGAGACATGGGTTGGTAACAGTTCATGATGGGCAGTAGGGAACGACAGTGAAGGGCGGAATGACACTGAAATCCCGTTTCTTATAACGTATTCACTATTCAGTATTTCAAACGGGATCAGAAGAAAACGGGGATTCCGATTCCCATTCATATAAACACACACGCAATCTGAAACAAAAGTGGAAATTTAATTAACCTTAATTCATGACATGGTCCGAATCCCTTAATGAATGCGAAGACGTGTTTACTTTGTGGGAATTGAAGCAGCAATTAGCACACTAGTGACTGAGTAGTGAGCGCGCTGCGGACGTTGCGCAAGCAAAATTCGCTTCCTTTCGCCCGTGTGTATCGTCGGTAGGTAACTATGTCATAGAAGAGAGATTTTGTGTAGAGCTTGACATCCCATCTTTCTTTTTGTGACCGACTGTTGGGTTATCGGTGTCAGATGAGTGCCTGCTAGTGGTCAGGTTGACCTATTGCTACCAGCTGGACTGTTTGTACGTCTTTTTGGTCGACTATCGGTTAATCTCATTCGCTAATGCCTTACTCGTGGCTGCATGCATGACTTTATATCAACAAGTTGTAAACAGAATGTCCTTCACATTTTGGCTGATGGATTAAAGATAACAGTCGGCAACCTCTGAATTAATCTGGTTGATCTATGTATAGTTTATCATTCGATCTTGCTGATCACTTAATTCGCCTGATTGGTCAGAACCGATTTCGAGTAGACAGCAACAGCTTGTCTTATCAGAACCAAGGAGTTTGACACACTCACGCCCCCGCCATGCGAACTCTGCGGGTCGGTGGAATTTTGGCAGCCGCTGTGGTACGTTTGTTCTCATGTGGCAACCATTGACCGTGTGAACGGGCCTCTCACCCATACCTGGCCTTGATGGGCGTCCAGCGAAACAGCTTGCTAGTCTGTTGATCTGGGCACCGACCAGCGCTATACCTACTGCCGACAGGTGTTTCATTTAAGAAGCCAAGAAAAGTGGCTTGGTACCCCCAAAATGAACGGCACTGCCCTGTGCCTTTGGCAGGACTGTTCGACACATTACACTGCAGTCTAATTATTTCATCCAGAATGTGGCAGAAAAAATGCGTGCTCGTTACAAAAAGCTGAAGATGTTCTAGCCGATGAGTTTGACTCTATGAGTCGTCAAGCCGGAGTCGGTGTGTGAGCTGGTGAGCCCGTGTCAGTGAGACGAGTCGTTGCGATGACTCACCACGTTGAGTTGAGTCCGGTGGTCGTAGATGGAGGCGCCGGGCAGGGCCAGCAGCGGCGCGTGGTGATCGGTGAGCGCCTCGGTGGACGCGTGGTAGTCGTACGCCAGGATGTTAAAGAAGTCCACCGCCCTGACGAACAGAAGGGAACGACGTCAGTGCCGATCATGGGCCATAGCAACAGCCATTTGGGAATTGTAATGGTAAAGTTGAAGTTTCTAAACAGCATCCAGCTGAACGGCGAAGGGAAATTAGGATAATATTTTGAGCATGATTTGTCATATGCTTGCTATAGCCACGACACATAGCCTACTACATAATTGTTAGCTACGTCACAAGCCTGGCTATTCCATTTTCATCCTTTCCATAAAAGCCAGTGTTGTGCGCTCATGGGAATGTATGGCTGTTATGACCACCGTACACAACATCATTCAAACAATCAGTGACACAAAGCCCGCCATATGAAGAAATATGACAAAGCCGCTAACCAAAAGGCACCGTTTATTATCATCTGATTGACGTCCTTTGTGTGACCTGCTCCTCCAACAAAGCAGGAGCCGGGGTCTCGCCATACCCTCCCTGCGCTATCTCCGGGCCGTCATTTCTAACTGAAGTGACTGATGCCGGTTCATAAGGTCCCATTCGGGCCACCTCCAATCACTCGGACCATATCGGCGGCAGGATCTGACAAGGGTCGATATTGGGTCCAGTGGTGTTACGTAATCAGTTCGACACGATGGAATTTGAACGAGTCAATAGGAGTCGTCGGAAACTGTTCAGAGGCTACTCACGCTTGTTGCGCAAGAAAAATTACGGCTGATCCGGTATCTTACCAGAAATTTATTATTTTTGTCGGCTTTCGCTTGATGATGCCAATAATTCACAAAGCTTAACACGCGCAGTGGAAGGTGGGGGGGGGGGGGGGCGGATTTCGTCCACCCCTCCTGTTTTTCGCTAATAACTCGCGCCGCAAACATGATATTAATGTGAAATTTTGGCTACCTGTCCAGAATCGAACTGCGGATCTTCTCGTGCAAAAAAATAAAAAAATCGGGTCACAACTTTTCTAGTAATAGCGGTGTAAAGTCAAACATCTTGCCGCCGCGGCGGCGCGGCGGCCGGCGCTAGCCGTTACGCGCCGCCTGAATTGTAGACTGTGCCGGGGCGGGACGGTTCCGTCTTTACATTGCGCTCCTTACCGCTGATTATATTCGATTCGCGTCAAATTTTGTGAGAAGACTAAGAAAAGTACAGGCAGTCTTATGGTTAAAGAATTTTGAAAATCGGCCGGTAACAACTTGAGTTATGAGTGTGTAAACACAAAATTGTGATTGCCGCGTTTCCCGCGTCCGCCGATCCCGATTCAGCCGGCGACATCTTACGCTTAGCAGGCTTCTAACTGCCATATTTAATGTTGGATTAACAAGAAATTCATCATACATACTCACAAATGTATGTTCTTTCGTATAGTGAAAGAAAAAAGAAAATCGGCCGGTAACTTTTTGAGTTATCGGCGTGTAAACGCAAAAAAGTCGCTAACATGGCAGATTTGACTTTTGACCTCATTTGACCTTCAAGATATTGACCTAGGGTCATGAAATTCACACACAACAGAGTTCCCCTGGGCCCCCACCTACCCTCCAAATTTCGTCTTTCTAGCTCCAGTGGGAGCTGAGATCTTAGGGGGGGCGACATCCGCCCCCCCCCCCCCTTCCACTGGGCGTAGTACTCGCAACCCTTCCACTGCGCGTGTTAAACATATTACGCGAATCCTACACATAATTCACAGTTTAGCCGGTTTGTGAAAAACACTTTGAGAGAAGGTAGACTTCCAATCTTACGTTCCATGCAGGAATGGCAGACGAGATAAATGAATGGAGATAAATGACGCTAATAATAATGTGACGCGTTGACCGACCTTCGGCTCATTACAGCGCCTTTTGTGACTATCGCCTATTTATTATTGCCGCAGTGTAGACGAGATGACAAACGAATTGACACGACAGCTTAGCTGCAAGGTCATTCGAAACACGCAAATTTCAACACAATCCGACCTGACACCATCTGCACCGTATTGCAGTGTCTGGACGAAATGCCAGTCATGGCACCATAGCCGACACTTGCCTGACATACTGTGCCAGTGACACATTGTGCTGACACAGCCCCCATGACCGGGCGCCAGTTAGAACAGCTTGCAAACAAGTTCGGGGCGTTTGAGGGAGTTGTTGAAATTGTCTGCCGTCAGAAGACAGCGGGCGGGGTGGGTGCTGAGCCCAAACCCCCGCACGATGCTTGAGGACGCCTGGTGTGGGCTCAGCTCAGACAGGCTTTGCCGCCTCTCTAACCGTATTTCATGACATGTCGCTTAAATTGGTAAGCCATTGCCGGAGTTTGACAGATGCTAGGTTGTGGAACACACTTCACTTTAAGAGTTTCTGACAACTGCAACCTGTTCACCTGCTGTGAAAAAAAATGTTTTCTTTATCATAGCATGGTTGACGAAGTGCCGTCTACGTTATCCTGCTACTGAAATTGGTTTTGAACCATCTGGGGTGTTATGCCTTCCCGCGATACCCATGACGAGTTATCTCGCAAGCGGAGTTTACAATCATTACTTTAGAGCATTATGTCAATACTAAACCTTCAAGTTCTCCCCCCGGTATTGCGTCACTCATACTCCATGAGATCCGGTCTGGCGCGAACTCCCGCCTCTGGCGTCCTTCGGTTAGCGTGGGAAGGTGACTGTAGCTGGGCTGCTATACAGTCTACTGAGCCTGCTCAGTGCTCAGTGCTCACAACACGGAGTTGTATAATAAATGCACGCACTCACACCCCTGGCGGTATGAGAGAAGGTCTTGCACCCTGCGTGTATGTATTTACAGCGTGAGAAGGACACGCGCTTCCGCCTAAACGCGTTGTGAGAAGTGCTGGGCAGAGCCTTATATGCTCCCACTTGCCTCAGGTATGAGAAGAGCTCATCGTTTCCTCATAGCCGTGGTGCGAGGTGGAACCGAAGCATTGGCCTTACGTTGCGAGTTGGGCTCGACGCACGCATACGGGGTGATAAGGACTTCATAATGGAGGCTGTTCAATTAAGTGGAAATAACTCCCCGTGTCAGCTGTCGGCACCCTCGACCCTCGACCCCGTCCTTCGCCGATGGCAGCGGCGGTTTATTCTTGAGTCCAGTTCCTCCCCAATAATGCCTGAATATAGCTCAATACTCACGCGTTCAGTCTCGGCACGTTGAATCCCTTCTCTATTGTGCTGATACCGGCCGGCACGGCCACCGTCAGCAGCAGGGTAGGACGGTTCGTCTTCACAGATTCCTCCTCGAACGCGGCTCGCAGCTCCTGAAAACGGCAGGGGATTATGGATTACATCAACGGGGCAATAGATATCATTTGGTGTATGACATTAATGTGGAATTAACATAGACTCTGGTGGTGCTTATACGCGCGCTCGGCACTGGTTTCTTCAATTCATGCTCGGTTTGTGCGTCGTTTATTGTAGCTAGTTATCGTGAGACGTGAGTTTTAGACGGGCGATATAACAGCAACTGGGCAATTCAATACGATATACGACATCTCCATAAAATATTCGTGGAACAATGCAGTCATAATATCCCACTGTTCAGTCGAGACACTGGTCTGTGCTGATTGTTGAGCTGTGTTGAGCTGTGTTGAGCTGAGTTAAGCCGATTCGTGTTTGGTCTCTCGGCGAGTGAGCTCTGTGCAACTGCTAAGGGCGTGGTCAGGTCGTTACGATTGCTCTGCAGCAGCGGCGGTGGCGTGAGCTGGATATTTCCGGTTTTCTCCAGACTACAACCGCAACAGATCACTTCGTCACGACTGTGTCCACGAAGCGTGGTTCTGCGTTCTGAGACTGCGGACTTTGTCAAAGACCAAGCGAGGGGCTGCGCCGTATAGAAGAAACACGCAATAAATCATGATCTTTGGTTGAAACAGAAAGATGAGACCGCACTTTTGATCACCAGAATCAGATATATCACCACATTTTGTCGGTAGATCGGTAATTCGGTAGTACTGAATCTGGCCGAACGGCCAACTGTAGGTATTTATTGTTCATATGATCCACTTGGATGACCGCTCAGCAGTGAGATCGATGGTCAGCGTTTTCTCCGAATCATTTGCGCGGAGAATGTCGGTTATAAAAGTCGTCACAGGTGTCATGGTCGTTTTCGGATGGCCGGTTTCACTTCTAGCGTCATCAGAAAGCGATAACGAAAACGACAGTCTGTTTTCGGCACGCTGGGGAGCGCTTCCGGTGCCAGTTCGACCGTGATGACCTTTGTTCAGAACAGTGTGTCATCCAGTTGAGACGCGCACAAAAAGTTGACCGCAGGGGTTCCGTGTTGCGTGAGGGTGTCACCTGATGTTACGGTAATGACACCTTCCGCCCAGTGTGATGTAGCTGTCACTTGAACCGTGTGCTCACGTGGGCGGTGAACGGAGTGATTAGGTCTAGTAAACGAACGGTATTAGCAAGACATGACGTCACCGTAATTTTTACCTTTACATGCATAGAAACTTCATAAATGTTTCTACGGTCCAGTGAAAGGATGGGTGTGTTTATGTTTAAATTTTATATACAATGCCAATTGTCCGAAAAAATGTATTCCCTCAGGCGTAATTAAGCATTTTGATCCAATTCATCTATCGCCTGTTGCCTGGTGATTTAATTTCAAACGGGGCTGGCACGATCCTGGGCATTGGGAAGCTTCCCCAAACCCCAACCGTGCGTTTGGGGCAAAGATTGAAACCGTTCTTACCTCCATGAGCGTGGCGTAGTTCTCCTTGTCGGTGACGTCACTGCCGGCGCGCGAGCCCGGATACTCCCAGTCCAGGTCTAGACCGTCGAAATTGTACTGGCGCAGGTATCGGATCACACTGAAGATGAACCTGGAATACAGAACAGAGCGGGACGTTAGTTGGAAAGATTATCAACAACTCGATCGGGAGTGATGCACATTAGGCGTGGAAAGAGTGAAATACACATAATTGAAAATGTTGTGAATATATTACCCCGCTATTACGAATGTTAGCATAAGTGCAGGACAGGAAAGGTGGATAGATCCATTGACTGACTCCTCTTATGGTGGCTGTCCCGTCTGCTTTCGGCCCCGGCTGCGACCGCTTTACATCTTATCGTATGGTAACCATTACAGTATCTGTTATCGATTTCACACTTAATATGCATGAAGTGGATATGACGCTGGGTGTTGATGGTTACGGCTTAATCACCTGATAAGCCCGACTGGCGTAAGGACGGGATACTTTGATCGATGGGCTCAATTTCCCAAAGCCGCGGCAAACTCAAACCTGTAATTGGGCCTTGACATGCTCCCCATTTCTCACCAGGCAGCAAACACTTTCTGACACTCGACTGCCGCTTGTGCGTTATTAAAATGAGGCAACACCAACGCAGTACTCGCGTCTATTGGAGGCGGCAGGCTTCAGCAGCTGTGACGCAACCTGACCACTTCACGCTCGGGTAGCCCAGTGACCCAGCGTGCGCCGTGGGGTGCGGGCCGGGCCAGGCCGGGGCTGCCGCTTCGCCACGCGTCATCAGGGCTGCATTCATTCCAGGCGTCTGCTTTGGCCAGCCCCCCCCCCCGCTCCATCACTCAGGGGGGGGGGGTCCAGCTATCTGTAAGAATCTTGGCCCAGCCTCCGTTCACGAGCTCCAGCATTATTGGTCAGGTAATCTTGGTGCGGTCAGTGGTCAGTTACTCAGTGGTCAGTGGTCAGTTGGTCAGTTGGTCATTCTGGGGAGGGGGTAGTGGGTGTGGTCTCTCTGCAACAGCTGACGGGTCGGTGCGGGTGGCGTCTCGTAGTCCAGGGCTGCAGCCTGCCCCTGACCCGCTGGGGAGGGGAAGGGGAGGGGACGGGCGTGGTCGCCGATGTGTGTTATGCGGTGACCCAGTCGCGTTAGGAGGGCATTACGAGGCGGAGCGTGTTTGGGCTCGGTGGTTTGAGTGTAAGGTTGATGGGGGCGAGGACAGGACAATTAGGCTTGTTGGTTTGTTTTGGAATCCGTTAGCGGGTACAGGGCAAACAATGTAGCTAGCTAGAACTATTCGTAAGATGAATGGTAATTTGCCAGGTTTACCCTTCCCGGCTAAAGAGGGGAATCAGTCTGGAACTGTTTGTGCATTATCATAAAAGTCATTCGCTGAGCTTAAATCAGCTGGACCATTAGCTTGCGACCTGTGCCTCAATTGGTTCCATTTTCCACCACGCTGAAAGACTATTGCAGCCGCTCCAAGTCAAGGCCGAGCGCTTAGCCGTCCCCATCGCCTGATCTAACGGGAGCTCTCCAGAAGGCTCTCCGCAGAAGCTTTGTGAGTTTCAGCGGCGTCGTGACACCGCCCGGCTCTTCTGGAACTCACGGTTTTGTGAGGGAGACTCACGGAGAGACTGCGGGTCCTCACGGCCGTGCCGACACATCTGCTACCGCTGGATAAACTGTGTCGCCATGGAGAGGCCGAACTGGGGCAGAGCAAATCGCTCGGCTAGCGCCGGCTGCAGGCTGAACTGACCCCGAGGAATGCCTACTACTCAGTCGGGTCAAGGAGAGCTGGGTTAGAAACTATCCATTATAACATCTATCCTAACAAAATTAAACTCATCGCTAGAATAAATTTATTTCGAATGTCCTTTGTTCCACGAATGAATGCACTCTGTGGCTACAGATATCGATTCTACTTTTACATGATGCAAACAAGGTCGGTGTGCAGTGCAACTTTCACTACAGCTACGATTTCTATCGAACAAAAGCCTCTCTATTGAACCGTCGAGGCGGCGACGTCTGTAAGCTTGTGGCTTTGACCTTGGTCACAGTTGCCACTGATGAGTGCTGTGACTGCTATCTACTGTATTTATTGTGTGAGCTCCTTTGCATTGCTAAACTAACATGCGTCTGATAGTCAATGCCTATTCGATTCGTACTATATTCCCTGTTCTGTAATCTATAGGGCTGCTACAGGACCACAGATGCTACTCTCTTGTGTTCGATTGCAGTCACCAGCGAGCGGCTCTGTGTTATCCCGCGCGGGGCTGGGGGGGGTAAATTTTACCCCCCCCCCCTCGCGAATTTTTGCGATATCTCAAAAACGGCGGCGCGCAGCGCCGCCAAACTTTCAGTACCTTTTCTTACATCAATTTGACACGTTCCCTGAAAATTTGAGCGAAATCCGTCGGAAAATTTTTGAGAAATTGACGTTTTAGTGACGTCATGTTCGCCATTTTCGCCTCAAAAACGGCAAAAGTTCAAACGCCGCTAACATCTTCATTTTTAAAGGAATCAAGACGTAACAAAAAAGGTTATACGTAATTTTACTTTGTCTATCAAATGGCTATCATGGTTTTTTGAAAATTTTGGATTTTGGCCTAAATTTTTTCAAAAAACTGACTTTTTTGGGAAAATCATTATAAAATCCAAAATTTTGAGTCTATCGAAAAAACCGGAATATATGTCAGAGATGTGGTCTATGTGCACCTACATACCAAATTTTAGAAGAATCGGTTCAAAAATGTGGGAGTTATTCAAAATTTCATGACGTCACGACACACAAATTTTTTGAAAAATGACTTTTTTGGAAGTTCTAGACCTCGTACGGAAACAAAAATAGCACCATTCGATTCGCCGTGAAAAACTGCATCAGATAGACACCTTTTTAGGCCTTAACAACCAACTTCAAAATTTGACCTCACTTGACCTGACCTTGACCTGACCTCGACCTGAAATTCATCCAGAGGTGGTCCATATCACTTATTGAGTGTGCCTATTGAATTCTATGAGTAAAATGACCAATAAAACATGTGTCGCACATGCCCTTTTCTATATTTTGTTTTTTGGTGACCTGACCTGACCTGACCTGACCTTGACCTTGACCTCTGAATGATATTGTATGCAACGAATATTGTCTTGGTAGCCTAAGAACACGTTTTGGGCGATCAGTCTCAGTCCATGACTCCATTCTTCGGCAACTACGGTGCAAGGCCGATACTGTAGAAACTTGCAATTTGTACCCTTGACCTGACCTTGACCTTGACCTCAAACTTTAAATTAAGTACATGTTTTTAGTAGTTCGTGATGAGAGCTTTCGATTGGCGTTTGAATTTTCCAAATCGGACCATTAGTTCGGGAGATAACAGGGGGGTAAAATTTACCCCCCCCCCCCCAGCCCCGCGCGTTCGGCTGGAGACCCCAGCCCCGCGCGGGTTAAATGTACATTCGATCCTGTCTTGTGCGTAGTTGCAGTCTCCGACGCTAGTTACGAGTGTTACTGTGTTGTGGAGAGCTGCAGTTCCCAAGACTTTATTACGATGATATTGTTCTGTGCGCGGTTGAAATCTCCGGCGCTGCGCGAATGCTACTGTGTTGTGCACAGTGGTAGTTCCCGGAACGTTTGGCACGAATTGATTTAAAGCTTGTTAGTCACTACTTCTGATTTTTTCGTTGCTTTATTCCACTGCATCAATCAAAATCATCATTGCTTTCAACATATATCAGTTCAAAATATTCAACGTAATGTAACTCAAAATAAGCTAATAAGCATCATTTTGTGTTGCGCTGAAGGGACGTCTTAGAAGTTTGGAAACTTTGAGAGGCTTCATGAAGTATGCCACACCAATAGCTGAATAAATTCAATTATAATGCTCAGCATATTTTGATTACACGCGTTTCAAACACGCTGTCTGTAGTTGTGTAGTTGCCAGATCGTCCGTGAAGCAGCTGCCAGATAGCGTGTGTGACACTGACATTATCTCATGCTCTCTGCCATGCGTGGCGGGGCCGAGAGGTCGTGGTTTCTCGGTCCTTGATTCCCAGCCGCTGGTGACGCTGCTAATTACCCCCTTCCCCTGCCCACTCTCGGTCTGTGACTAGCGTAAAACTGCATGTGAACCCACTCTGTGTGGGAGTGGCCTCTGCTGTCATGTTACCGCGCTATCTTGCGTGGGTTCCATTGGAGTTTGAGTGGGTACAGGGTAATGTGTTATCTTCAAGATGCTTAGCTTTGGGTCAAAGGTGGACTGAGTCTGTGTTGTTACTGTGCTCTCGAGGTTTCATGCAATTTTTGGATGGCATGTAAATTGTGACAGGTCGAGTTTATCTCAGATAATGCAACAGTAACTCAGTTGAAGTTATTTTAGATTACGTAAATGGCAGCTGGCAACTCACTTCAAGGTGAATTCACACATAATGTATGATATGACATAGCAGTTTGGGAAATGTGCACGTATGTTACCGTATCTCGAGCTAGTGCTGCGATTGTAACTGTTTAACCCTAGAACGCCTAGGGGGGTTGTATCAACCCCCCCCCTGAGGTTTTTTCGAAGTGCACGCTAAACGGCTTGTCGTAGCGGGCTGAAATTTTCAATACCCTATGGGGCAACCTTTGCGCATCTTTTGCCGAAAAAAATTGATCGGGTCATGTCAGGTCACGGAGTTATGACGTCATAAGAGGTACAGCCTCCGGACAGATTTTCACAAACTGAGTGCCAACGCCCGAGGTTTCCTGCCGGTGGTACGGACATCGGTTGATGGATCGTGATGAAACTTCCCATGCATGTTGGGGCAAGTATTGGCTATCATATGGTATAAGAAATTTGACCGGGTCAGGTCAGGTCACAGAGCTATGACGTCACAAGAGGAACAGCGTCCGGTACTATTTTTGAAAAGCGCCCGAACCACTATTTTGCTAATTCTTGTCACCTCAATGGGAATATGCAGCAATATTAGCTTCTATAGGGAGCAAATGGACCTCCCAAATCCAAAAATACAATCAGATTTCAAAAACTTAAATTTTGATTTTTCGAATTTCTGCTGCCGACTGTGACCTTGCCGACTTCCGGCGCTCCCAACGCGCCATTTTTAGAGCTAGGGAAACGAAATACATACCAAACGATAGAGAATTGATCAAGGAACACGATAGTGAAGGTTTCAAGTCGATATCTCCCACCGTTTTGCCGCAATCGCCGCCGAAAGTTGAAAAAAATTCTATTTTTCCGAAAATTTGACCTTTGACCGGTCAAAAGTAGGTCAAATGTTGACCTAGGACCAAAAAATATACCACCAATCGCGAGATCTCGTTGAGAGCAATCCGTTGGTTTTTTCCGCTAAGCTCTACGACCTTCCGTTTCGAAACGCCAGGGGGGGGTCGTAACAACCCCCCCCCCCTGGTCGTTCGTGTTATGAGAAATGGCCTGGTCGTGCGAGGGTTAAGAGATACGCATACTGTAGAAACCAGCACGCTTATGAGTCTCACGTCCCAGTTTTAAGTCGGTATGCGTCAGCCACACGAACTGTTATCACTTTTGAGTCCTCACTGCAGTTGAAGTCAGAAACCACTGTATTGTTTTCTCTGACTCTCACGAAAATGCCGATTAAAACCCCGCTAGCCTCAGCGTCTGATTGGAAAACAATGGGCCAGTGGTCTCACATTAGTGGCAAGCGATTGGTCCAGAGCGGCTGTCTTCAGCGAATGAGAATCGAACAGTTGTAGCTGTGGGCTAGGCCAAAAATAATGTTCGATGAGCTCAGCGAAATCTTGAATTATATCGGCTTGACTTAAATATTAGGTCACTAGCCAATGCCTGAAATCGGCTAATGATTTTGGAGTGAACGAGTGGTACGTATGAAAGGCTTGCTGGGGCGCTTTTAGTCACTTCAGTCATGCTTTTGGGGTAATAATGACAGCTCAAAGGTCGGTTTTGTCATAAAGGCCGTGTACTATTGTCATTTGTAGCTGAATCCGGACCTGGCGTAACAACAGGTGGCGAGCATTCACACGGAATAACGAAACTGGATAATTACCATCGGCCCGTGGCTATAATCAGACAACACTTTCACACTCTCACTCAACTGTCGTTTTGTCCCTAAAAAAGTCAGTTTGTATGATTCAGTTATGCATTTCGATGGGTCTTGATCCGTTCTTTGCGCCTCAAAATATGCAGTGAAGCTATCTGCTAAAATGAGCCAAGCAGTTCCAGACTTCAGCAAACGCTGCTAGTTGTTGCACATGTTGGACCGGATTTGACCAGACACGCCCATGCATGGGTGTGGTCCTGGGTTGCGCACAATCTCGCATCCTCTCTGCCCTTCCAGGCCCGTCACGGCCGGTCACACCATTTTTCCAGCTGACTTCCTGGTGCCGGGGCAGAGGGGTGAGACGAGTCGTCTCAGTTCTCAGAGACGGAGGGGACTGGGGCTCAGCCAAGGACGCCCACCGATCCACCCCCGGGGCACCGACCGGCTGAGGTGGCAAGGGAGGAAGCGCTGCGTCCCTCTAAGCCAGGATCAGGATTCAGGAGCCTCGGCCGCCAATCGAGCAGCATTTCTTATGCTTTAGTTAACCGACTGCTGTTAAACATGTAACTTGCTGCATTTAATTTGACTGTCGGACGTATAAGTATGTGAAGCATTCACCATTGCTCTGAATTCAGCTTTTGCAATATCCTGCTGAAGACGTGAAAGTTTTGCGCAAGCTCTGTTTTCCATTAACCATTTTTATGTCTATGTAAGTCCAGCATCTGGGAAATAGAAACGATAGAAACAATGGTGTTATGCAAGCCAGTAATTGAAGGTAGGTTGATTGTATTCTGAATGGTGCCGGCATACATTATGCCAAATATGCGACGCTTATTATGTAAAGCAAGAGCTGATGAAATTACGCATATCCGATTCATTTGGCGCTGGAGTCGCCTGTCCCTTTGAAGCCTACTAAGCCCGTGCTGTTGAACTCACCTTTGCCTGTTCTCCGGTTCGGCCACCAGTTCTGAGAATCTTCCCGAGCCTTCGCTCCAGCCTCCGAGCGCCAGCAGCGTCCGCAGACCCTTGTTGTACTGCTTGAGGCCATTGAAGCGGGCATATCCGCCTGTCACGGAGGTTAGGGTTAGTTCAAACGCACGAGCCGAGAACACAATACACGCACACAATGCATGGACGAGTGATTTCGTGTATGGCGTAACGTACTTGTCAGGACGTCAGGACTCAGGTCTCAGGAGCAAGACCCGTCAGGAGTTATACAATGGTATTGCTTTAGAGGCGCGCTTGGAAACAAGGGTGTTTGATTGTCAATACAGCTGTTGCAGTAACGCAAGTCGATTGTGAACTTGGCTCAACAATAGTGTGGTGTGACAGGGATGACCGGGAAACTGAATATCCGTTTCCTTGGTGGTGAATTTTCCTCAGTCACCGTTCGAATGATATAAGACTAGATTGGTATCACAATTGCGGTTCAGGGGCAGACTTACGACTTGCGAGTTATTCATTGCATTGTTTAACCTGAGCCTACAACCCGTCAGAATATCAACACATCATGCTCTTTAATAACCGCATTTCTTCTATCAGACCCTCTGGCATTGAGATTCACCCTTTCCTTTGTCAGTCCCTGAATCCTGACGACATGACCGTACCATCCACTGATATATAAGGGCTGTAATTAGTACGTCTTCACTCAATAGACTCCCGAAAGAGATAACATTTATCGGGTGACCTCACCCCCGTGGACACGCCATTCAATGGCTCAAGCTAGGTCACGCCCCCAGGTCACAGGTCACCACCGTCCCCGCCCCGCGATAAACGGCATCTCAGCCGCTTCCAGCCGGGTCACCGGAGGATGCGGCACCTTCCATGGAACCTCACGCGCATCTCGTAACCTTTTGACCTCTGTTCACGGTCACACGGTGTGACCTCAAGTGACACCCCAAGTCGATCATGATTGGCATCGACCCGCCCCTGTCAGTGAGGTAATGGAGCTTTTCTGACAAGGCCGTAAAGAGGTTTGTGGGCCGACGTACGAGAATAGTTAGTGCGTTACGGACGACCCACCGCTGAGCGGTCTCTCTTGGGTATACCCCCGACTGGGATCCACCCTTGGCTATTCAGGGCCGCCGCCGGGCGTGGTCCCCCCCCCCCCCTGTGGGGGGGGGCGTCCTAGACCTCCTTGGGGAGGGGTTGAGCAATGCCTCGGGCGGGCGGGGGGGGGGGGAGGTGGTTCTCGGACGGGCTCACACGCCTCCAGAGCAGGTGTCTAACTCTCCACACACAATGGGTTCCACAGTGGGTATTGTAGCGTCGTCACGCCCCCGCCCGTGACTGCTCACGCGCTGTGACGTCACGGTTATGAAGTCACGTGGGCTGTGACGTCAGATGGGTGCGGGGGTGCCTGGTGGGCGGTTCGGCGTGCTCTAGCGGGCGGGGTTGGTTGGGTATTGGGTAATCGAGTTCAGAGTGTCGGCGGTGACTCTGTTCGAACAAAGATGAGTGGCAGCATTAGTAACGAAGGCCTTCTGAGGCAGTGACATGGACTCGGGATGACTGCGTGGGATCTGGGTCAGGGTAGGGGGGGGGGGTATTGGGTCTCTGCTGTGCGTATGAATCGAATGTTAGCGTAACTTTTTCAGAGCTCATTGCGTGCCTAGCGCGGTATGCATTGTTCCCGAAAAAGATGGGCAAAATCAAAGAAACGATGACAAAAGAAAAGGGAATCAGGGGGTGGAAGGAAAGAATAAAAAGGAAAAATAAAACACCATTAATTTACGAGAAGCTGGAGAGGCTATGTAAAGTGTAAACTACAGGTGAAAGAGAGTAACAAAATTGACATCGATATAACCGTGTCCTGGGCACAATAAGCTCTGAAAATAGAATGATTGATATGCTGTGTTTGCGTTTACCACAGTTGATAAAGCGGATCTTTGTGGCCTACTACTATAGCATTTCGCACTTCGAACTCACCTTTTTCGATGTCCTGATACTTGTCGAACGGCTGCAGCTGAAAGTCATCGTCGAACCCTCCGAAGGCGTACACGAGATGGGTGCACAGGTGGGGGTTGATGTTGCTGGGCAGGTATTTGGCCAGGCCCAGCCGGTACACGGACCAGTTGGTGTAGTAGCAGACCACACGCTTACGGGTCTTCTTACGGGCGGCGTCTGTCGGAAATGGGCGGGCAAGGGGTCAGCAGGTTGTATATACAGAGTATGTGCAGTATGCAGATCCCGACCGAGTTACGGCTCATACAGGTCCGACCGGACAGACCCGGGACAACAGGCCATACGAGGTATTGACTCGTAAGACTTCCCTGTCGTCAGACTAACTTATGATTCTGATGACTGACCAGTAACAGATCCAAAAAGGTGAGTTAATATAAGCTTGTCAGCTTTATCCCAGTCGGCATAAAGCTTATGTTATGAGATGAACGATGAAACTACGTTAAATAAATTGTGACATAGCAGCATCTAGCCTTGCTTCAACCTAACTAATTGTAATTATCAAATTTCTTTGTATTGCCAATTCAAGAAAAGCTTGCCCCTTTTCTTTCACTCTTAACACGCTGCTTGAGTGATCAAACAGTATGTCCAGCAAAGTAGACCACAATGTTCTGGCAGCGTCAGCGCGGGAGCGCTGCTGACCGCTCTGCGGAGAAATCTGTCCGCCCCGGCCCGGTCCGGTCCGGCCGCTCACCCAGCCGTGACCTGTTGGACGTGCCGACGCGGCCCCGCCGGCCGGGCGGGACTCGTGAGCGGCACGTGCTGTGCCCAACACCCATCGTCACGGCTGACGAGCTAGGCTAAATCACGCTTCACTGGTGACGGTTCGCACAACTAGGCTGGGCGGCCGTACAACATCTGTTCGCTGGGCATATATTCATCATGGTTCAGTGCTTATTTCGCACAGCCAGCTTTCAATGATGGAAAGATAAAAGAGATTGTCAAGAAAGGGTTGCTTTTGGCTCTAGGTTGGAGATCTGAGCGTTTTAGCAATATGGCTCCATCAGTTGGTCTACGATCTGCTTTTCGCATTTTGGCCACGAGAGTTTTGTTGACCTCTGATGGATAAACGGTCAGTGGGTGCCGAATATCCTATAAGAAAGATTCGGTCGATATCGCCACTTAGCAACAAAAGCACAACAAAATGAGACGTTTGTTGCTTGCACAAAATTGTTAGACTGGCCGTGAAATATCCACTCAAAAGTTAAAACTTTGCTGCTTCTCAATTAAGCGAACAGCAAGAACAATCGAGTTCTTAGAGTTGTTTTGAAGAAGACAGGCAAGTTCAATGAATAAGTGTCAGAATTCGTATTCCCTCGCAAGTGCATGTAATCATCTAAAAATGCGCACAATATTTGCGTCAAAGACAATGCATTTACAAGGTAGGGCAGAGCGGGGTCAAATGTAACACGGGGCAATTGTAACAGTGTTAATAATTCATAAACTTACCAATAGAATGAGCTGATGTTAAGACCGAAAATGCGTAATTCTATACTGCCTTTCCCAACGGAGTTTGAAGCGAAAGTGCCGGGATGTCGATTGCTGTGCACAGTAATTTGTTTTTGAGTACATTTTGTAAATTTTTATACCGTTATATTTGATTAGCTCATTCCCGCCATTGAAAAGATATCGACTTCAGACTTTGTGTAAGCGTCGGCAGGCTTGTTGTCCATAAATTGAAAGCATTAAATGCTGTACATGCAACATCTTTTTGCGCCAGTTTCGTCTAAAATATGTCAAGGCGAGACGGGGACAATTGTAACATTTTTGCAGGGGTCAAATGTAACAGGTTTTAGGTCAGTGGGCATTATGTCAAAGTCGTCAAATTTTCAAGGGAGTTGAAACATCGCTAGAATTAAGAGAACTGTAAGTTTTGTCGCAATCGGCAGCTTTTTACGCGATTTATTTGCAAAAAAAAAAAAAAAAAAACGAGAGAGAGGAGGTCCATCCAGCCCTTGTATAAGTGCGAGGTTTTAAGCCTTTTTTCCTGAGAAGAACCGTCTCGACCAAGTCTGGGAAGATGAACAAGTGTTCAATACTTTTGTTAAATCAAAGTTTTGGGAAAAAATTGTGTTGCTGTAGCCTGTAAATTAGCATGTTACAATTGTCCCCGGTGGTGTTACTTTTGACCCCGTATCTGGGGTGAATTGTAACAGATGAATTGACTTTTTCGGACAACAATTTTGACCCAAAAAATAAGTTTTTTTCGGAAATGTTTTAACTGTATTTTAACCCTCGCACGACCAGGCCATTTCTCATAACACGAACGACCAGGGGGGGGGGTTGTTACGACCCCCCCCCCTGGCGTTTCGAAACGGAAGGTCGTAGAGCTTAGCGGAAAAAACCAACGGATTGCTCTCAACGAGATCTCGCGATTGGTGGTATATTTTTTTGGTCCTAGGTCAACATTTGACCTACTTTTGACCGGTCAAAGGTCAAATTTTCGGAAAAATAGACTTTTTTCAACTTTCCGCGGCGATTGCGGCAAAACGGTGGGAGATATCGACTTGAAACCTTCACTATCGTGTTCCTTGATCAATTCTCTATCGTTTGGTATGTATTTCGTTTCCCTAGCTCTAAAAATGGCGCGTTGGGAGCGCCGGAAGTCGGCAAGGTCACAGTCGGCGGCAGAAATTCGAAAAATCATAATTTAAATTTTTGAAATCTGATTGTATTTTTGGATTTGGAAGGTCCATTTGCTCCTTATAGAAGCTAATATTGCTGCATATTCCCATTGAGGTGACAAGAATTAGCAAAATAGTGGTTCGGGCGCTTTTCAAAAATAGTACCGGACGCTGTTCCTCTTATGACGTCATAACTCCGTGACCTGACCTGATCCGGTCAATTTTCTTGCACCACACGATAGCCAATGCTTGCCCCAACATGCATGGGAAGTTTCATCATGATCCATCAAACAATGTGGGTATCACCGGCAGAAAACCTAGGGATTCGGCGCACACGTTTGGTAACTGTCGGCCGGAGGCTGTACCTCTTATGACGTCATAACTCCGTGACCTGACATGACCCGATCAATTTTTTTTCGGCGAAAGATGCGCAAAGGTTGCCCCAGAGGGTATTGAAAATTTCAGCCCGCTACGACAAGCCGTTTAGCGTGCACTTCGAAAAAACCTCAGGGGGGGGGTTGATACAACCCCCCCTCTAGGCGTTCTAGGGTTAAAGACAAAACATCATAGTTTCTGAAAATAAAAGAAAGAGTTTTATAACTGCAAACGTGTTTGCACCAGATGATGAAATGCAAAAAATGTTACAATTGACCCCGTTCTCCCCTACTGCATTTCAGTCTGGTGAGTCATGGCCATTTATCATTGTAAAAATGAAATATAAACAATATAAATTGTATTGAAGTCCGCCAGTTGCCTGCGGGTGTCCGTTTCTTTCGGCAGCGGTCGGCACACCGATGGGCTCTCAGCCAAACGTGTCACGAGTCACGACTCATTAGTTAGGAGTCATGAGTCATGAGCCTGTGCGGAGCGTCGTTCTCAGAGGGGACCTCCTTTCCAACATGATGACCAATTGTGATAGTTTCAGGAAGCTGTGCGATCAGCTCAATTTGAGGTAGGTAGGTGTTCTCAGTCAATGGTTTATCATGACATTGTTCTGGAGATATGTTCCATAGGTGCACATTCATTCAGAGAATAGTAAAAGAATCGAATAATTTAAACAAATGGCACAACTATCGTGTGCCTAGGTAGCACTGTTGATACGATTATGTACATTATCCTGCCTGCCCTAATGAAAAGCGTTTCGGAGTGGGGGTTTCAGTAGTCACGCACTGGCACCGTTCTCACGAGATCTACTCCCACGGCCCCTCACAGATGGCACCGAGAGACAATTCAGCAGTTTTCGAACCGCCAATTTTATAAACATTGTGCACATCTGTCGATTGAAGATCACTAAGTGCAGTCTGAACGGTGTGATTTCTACCGTTCTTGCTCGATCCCTGCACGGTGAGAACTGAGCAATCTCCCTATTGTTGTCTGCAGTTTGCACCTGGGACAGTTATTTGTTCATTGCAGGCCGTTTTTAGCTACGACACTGCGCACCCCTCCGCTCCCATCTCCGCGCTGAACAATAAAACGGCATTTTGGTGGGAAGAGGTTGCAGCCCATAGAATGGCAATCATGGAGTCAGGAGTTTTACACGGTTGTTTGAGAAAGCACGAAGAAATGTGTGGGAAATATTCTACAGAGGCTCCCAAACTCTACACTTATCTAGGTACATTGTCTTCCAGCAAATTTGTATGGCTTCTTGGAATGTGACTGGTAGACTCGCGTTATATTTTCCGGCAATCAGTACGTTGACATAGCTCATGATGCTCCTGGCTGAGATTCTTCTAATCTATTGATCCCAAAGATGAATAAACCATGCGATAAACGTGTGCACATACCTGTTGTGACGACGGCTAGGAGCAAGCAGCACACAAGAAGCGCCCACAAGGGGCGGATCTGAAACGGAAACAGACCATAGTTAGGGCGATATTCGGCGCCGGCCACAAGTTCAGCACCACCACGCATCATAAACAACAGTCGATCACCACAATCTACTCTCCACGGTCCACCCTCCATCCCTCCCTCCACAAACCTCCTCCCTCTTCCTTCATGCTCATCCCAGACAGCAACAAGATACCTCCACTAGTGTTTGTCGTCATTTCGCAACGTGAAGACTTTCTCGTTTGATGGGTCTGGCAAAAACGGGAGTCTGAGTCTCACTCACGCGTGGGAGTTACCGAACACACCCTCAGGGAAGGGGAACGGAGGGGGCGGGTGGTGGGCAAGGAACACCCACGGGTGGGGGAGCGGGTAGTTGTGCAATATGGCTGAACGTGCTGAGTGAGCTGGAGACGATGTTAGCGTGGAAGGGGCATGGCACGCTGCGTACTAGCTACAGTAGGTGGAACAGAGATAGAGCGGTGACGAAATGAAATGAAATTGAGACGGAAAACGGAAGGAGAGGAAAGGAAAATGATCGTAATGGGAGGTAGAGATGAGACATTTGTGAGCTGGTCAGATGAGGCGTTGTAGCCTGTCAGACATTTTCTCTGGACGATGCAAGGTGCATTATAATGAATTGTAACAATGAAATATCCGCGGCCAAATGGGTAGGATTTTATTACCACTTTTTATCACTTTGGAGTGAAAAGTGTGTCGCTTGCAGCCGTTGATTTTCCGATAACCACCATCAGAAATCCCTTCTCGGGACCTGCCCATCCCGTTCACCGGGCCGCTAATCGACTCAGTGAGGTACGAGCTCAAAGAGCCGCTATCACCGCGACCATCAGCAGTCACCAGACCGGACCCGGCGACCTAACCGACCGCCCTGCGACCCGCGCGGCCTTCAGTGACCCAACGTTGACCTCTGGTGACCCGGAGGCCGCGGCGACGTGCGCGAGACGTTCAGTCGGCTGACAACACTTTCACTGTCCGACCGACCGACCGACAGACCGACCAGCCGACCGACAGGGCGACCGACTGACCAACCGAAGACGGCAGTGGCGCGGCGACCATTGAAGTGCATGAATGGTTGTTGGGAGGATATGCTGATACAATTCGTGTAATATGTCTGCACCACGTACAGACTGAGGAGGTGAACTAGCCTTCACGAAATGTCTAACGGGCTGCTCGACGAAAAGCGAAACACAGCTTTACCGGTATCTACAGGACAAACAAGATTCTCAGCTTATAACCGTTGCCGCAGCAACCGACTTACGAATGCTGTTTTAACAGAAAGCTAAGCAGTGAAAGCAGAAACCGTCAAATCCCGGAGAGAGAAAACAAGCTGACCCTGTGTCTAAGTGTCACAACAGGTAGGTATGCCACTAAGTAGGATGGGATTATACCGCTGTTTCTCTAAGAAGAGGTGGCTCATAGCGCCTGGTACGACTAGCCAGGCAAGGTGTCGGGCCGGTCCACTGCTCAGTAGGATCGTCCTGCTAGACTGGGCCCAGACTTTGGCGACGTTACGGGCCCACCAGTCCATTGAAACCACATGAACCCTGGCTGGACCGGACAGGCTCGAACACTGGCTGGAACGGGCGGATCCAACGGGGTCCCCACTAATCCTCAGATAAGCCTTGTGCGCTCTTGTGCAAGACGTCCTCAGCCTCGCTCATGGACATCGGCCGTTCCCTCTCTTGCACCGGCCGTCTTGGCTTGTGCTCGATGTCGTCAATGGATGCTGTGCTCGATGTCTCAGGGAACGGTCAAAATCTTAGGAGTATTTTGGTCTCTCCTCCAGAAATGTATCGCCCGTGACTCAGTCTAGGATTGTTTCTGTGTGTCTTGTCATTGATATTGTCTCCACTTCATCGCTCGGAGCTTATCTCCTTGTCTCGTTATCAGGGAAGGTCGTCTCAATTTTTCACGTTCTCCAAGTGCATATCCATATACCCACTGCGTGAGGCGAGATATCCATGAGCCATATATGTGCCATGTGCCATATAGGGACGAACCGTTGCACATTTCGCAAAGCAAACCGCCCTGCTTTCACACACCAGCACGCTACTGACTGATAAACTCTGTACGGTAACCATAGTAAGGTGCAGAGGCGCGATGTGTAACGATTCCCCGCGATTAACGGTCACGTTATCGTAATCTTGACATCATAACGCTATTTCTGTTGCTAAGTTCGAATCAAGTGGGCTATCTTTCCTTTCCGTGCAAAAACAAAACAAAGCCAAATCGGGAGAACGTTGATCGCCTATCGAATTGATAAGAGCGTCGCTATTTATTTCTGGCATTAACATTTAAACCCGCTGCAGCTGGGCTCAGGAAAGAGGGAGCAGGATATGAATATGGAGGGAAGGTCAGGGAGGGAGAAGGTGCAACCCTGACTGGTTGCAGGCGGTGCACGGCTGACCTTTGACCTTGGAGGAGCCGGCGGGCCCAGCGGACCACGCACAGACGTAGGCGGCACGCGAAACGGACACTGCGTGCGGGCGGAAAGGAATGGCCGAGCGCAGAGGTATGATTAATTGTGTGCAGGTGGTGATTAGAAACAGATCTTGTCTTATCCCACAATGAGCATTGTTAGCGCAATGCAAATGAATTCCGGCATCGATTAAGGAACCTGATTGAAAAGCGGCGATACTAATGCACTGCTATTCAAAATTCGATCAAAATCAGCGGAAGCAATTTTACAGCTCTTGCAAGAAACAGCAGCAGAAGAAGAAAAACAGGCACCTATTTGTTACTCGGTTTTCATCTTTTTCACAAAGCAATGCTCTAAAGTTTTTAGGGGGTGGAAGCGTCGATGCCTGGTACAGATCTCAGGGTCGTTCTGGTGCCGTTTTTGCACCACCGCTGGCCGCTGTGGCGAGGTCAGTTTCTGCTAACCCGACTTCTCTCAGCCGGTCTCTCTCTCTCTCTCTCTCTCTCTCTCTCTCTCTCTCTCTCTCTCTCTCTCTCTCTCTCTCCCTCGACCGGTTTGCCCTCCTTCAATCCGATGCTAACATGTGACTCGGTCATAGATCAGAGGCCGTCCGCTGCTGCACTGATGCAGCCCCAGGGGCGGAGGGAACGGAGGGGGAAGGCCGAGGGACGGTGGCGCAGCGTAAGCGAAGTGAGCATGGGGCTCGGTTGCCGGGAAGAAGGTCAGAGAAGGTTGAGCACGATAAACGAGATTATCTTGTGAAGGACGGGGGTAGGGGTTGGTTGGTAGGTTGGTTGAAGGGGACGTGTTTCGCTGCTCAGCAGCCGAAAGTCTCTCTCCTCTCTCTCTCTCTCTCTCTCTCTCTCTCTCTCTCTCTCTCTCTCTCTCTCTCTCTCTCTCTCTCCCTCTCTAGATGGGGTAGATGGTCCGATAGATATGACTGGGCCCGGACCCCAGCAGGTGATGGTAGGTCTTCCCTGGCCCGCCACTGCAGCTGCCCCCGACACCCCGGTAAAGCTGAGGAATGATAAGGATTCCTCTGAATCATATAACTGAGCGTCTGGCTGGAAAGTAATAAAAGTGGAACCTTTAGCCATGTTCCGGACATGACAACGGCAGTGGGGGATTTATTTCTTACCGGGCCTGCCGCCGAACACTTAATTAATCATCATATAAGACCGGGCCAGACATTCGTGGTCATCATCTTAAAATCGCAGTGCTCTTTCCGCAGAAACTCTAAAGATAGCGACATCAATCTTTAGATCATCATTTTTCGGTCCCGTAGCTCAGTTGGTTAGAGCGTTGGACTCCGCGTGGTGAGAGCACGCGTTCCCGGTTATGACAGTCCGGGTTCGAAGCGCGACGGGCGCTCGACATTTATGGGCCTCCTGACAGGTATGGTTGCGGTTGGTGGCAGGCCGTAGCCAGGCGAAGTCAGCGAGGGGACCGGCCGTGCGCGGCTTTGTGCGCACGTAAAACTTTGGACTCTAAATTCTGCCATAGAATCGGAATTGCGCGATCGGAGGGTAGAGGGCAGGGTCATCGCAACAAGCTTCGCTTAGCGGTGGCTCTGTCCTTGTGAATCCTTCCCATCAAAAGGTTCGGACTAAATTTATAAAAAATAAAAAAAAAATAAAAATCAACATTTTAGCACCCGCGTGATGATAGCGAGAGTTTCATTTGTGGTGAAAACACCCACCCTTGATGACAGCCACCCAGCTGTGTGCCATTACACCAGCACCCAATTCCAGTGTCGAGAATGCAGCCCAGTCATTGTGAAACTGCGCCCCGCTGTGTTCGCTCTGTTTTTGCACCGTTACAAACGGACAGCGGAGGCCGGAGCCGAGGTTTTTCCGGCCACGGACTGACGGAAGAGATTGTCTTTCTGCCTCTCTCTTGTTCACGCTTGCCTCCATGCATCCTGGTTGTTTTGTTAGTAAATCGTGATGTATCTCACTACGCTTGGACAAATATAAGCAAACACATGAGAACGGTCTTAGCATACCCTTATGCTTCAGGTCTACATCTCAATACATACATGGATCATCTAGATGGCGTTCAAGGTTAATTAATCTGCGGGAGTCTTTTTAAGCTTAGGTCAACGACATGATCATGTCAAGACGGTAACAATTTGGCAGGTATTTTAATTCATTTCACTTCCCTAGCCGCAGTGCCGGTGCTGGTCGCTCCGCGAAATGAGATGGAAAGTGTCTCGCCGGCCCGTGGCGGCGCTCGCCCCTCGGCCCAGCTGGCCGGGCCGGCCGGCCGGTCCAGCCCGGTCCCGTCCGGCCGGTCCAGCCCGGTGGACTGCGGCGCGTGGCCAGCGCTACTTTCTCCGATACCTACCGGCCACAGCGGGCGGATCAAGTGGCTCGCGCCGGTCACCGCGGTCTGGCCCGGATAGAGCCGGGGTGGGGGACGGGCGGGAGCTACTCAGGGACGACGCACGACAGGTATGAGGAGGAAAACACTGAACGGAGCCGGAAGGATGACCCCGAGGGACGGGGAGGGAGAGAGAGAAAGTGATGGAAGGTGTGAGTGGAAAGGCGAGCATCCGATATGCAGATAAGGTGGGAAA